TGTCAATATTCCTGGGTCTAGTCGCATTGGGTCGGTGGTTGCAGCCAGTTGTCCCAACTTTGCATTGAGGAGCAAGGGCCTCCCGCCTCCCGGTAAAGTCCCTTTTGTTTTTGTTTTTGGACAAGTAGCTCTGGGGAGCTGAAGGGGCTTCCCCTAGAATATCAGCGTTGAATGTAATGAAAGGCCATTTTCTGGGTGAGACCCGGAGGCTTCTGGCAGCCCTCCCTCTAGTCGGCATTTTTTTGCGGGTTTTTGACATCCAGCCTCAGAACTGCAGGGTGGATAACTTGATGCAGGGGTCTAGGGCTTCCCCTTTCTCCTCCTGGGGAAGGTTAGGTTGCGTAGACAGCAACGCAGTGACGTCCTGCCCATTTGCTCGTTTTCATTTGGGAAGTTCTGTCCACTAGTTCGGCTTTAAGTAGCAATATTTTCACCAGATTAGGGGTTTGTTTTGGGGCACTTACCTTTCTGGGTGCCTGACCTGGTCGATGGCAGACATAGAATGCTTCCAACCACTCGGGGGTTTCTATAGGCAATTGCTCTTCATGGCTCTCTGAGGGGGCCATGTTTTGGTTCGTGGTTCTCAGTAGGCCTGGAACTCCATGCACATTGACTAATGCCAGGGTCAAATACACGCTTATCAGCCCTGATAGCTCTGGGAGCCTTTGGGTCTCGATTAGAAAATGGCTTTCCATACATTCAGTGCTGGATTTTAGCAGAATGTTTGCTGAGAAGACACTGATTTATGACATTCAAGAAAATAATTCAGTACAATACATATATTACAATTAATACAATACGCACATTACAATTCAGTACAATATACAATACATATATTACAATTCATTAACAAATTACTGTATGTGTAATTCAGTACTATGCTATGTGAGTGTTAACTAGTACATTATTCTCATAATCTTGTGTGAACAATGCTTTATCTTATAAAAATAACATTTCAGGTTAGTGTGTGTGAAACTAGTGATAATGAAGAGAACCTCCAATCCAATGCAAGAATCATGTCGTACCTGAGGAGACATGTTCCCAAGATGTTCCAGGTAAGTTAACTCCGTTGGATTGTGGGCAGTGTGTATGTTTAGGAGCTGTCTAGTTGTGTGGGCTCATTGTCATGTTTCTACCTTAACCTAAGCTAAGTCGATCTATGTTTTGGGGGGAATTGTCCTGCTAGGTGGCAGTGGTGGCTGTCTGTACTATGTGATAACAAAAGTGATAAAGAAGTTACTGTGCAGGATCAATGATCTGGGCAATATGTGACTGGTATGGTAAGAAATGGGTCCTGAGAATGGTGTGATGGGTGTACATTGTGTCTCAAGAATAAACAACAATGTCTTTTAATTGAAAGACAAGTTCCATGAAAGAAAGTTTTGTATTAATTATTAATGTGTAAATGTTTTGACCCACTGTTCATAATGGATGTGAGGCCTTCTGCATTTACTAATAGAAAGTACATAGATAGCTACTTCAGCTAGTACCCATCTCTGGTATGCTGGAAAGTGTGTGACCACCAGAATTCATGTTTAGTATTGTACTTGATTTGTTGGAACACTAGTACAGTACTTTGTTTGATCTGTCAATCATGTTACACCCCTTTCTAGGGACACTAGTACATTTTCTGCTGGGCTACATTATGCCAAACCACAATACATACTCACAACAACATGTATATAAAATGTATACAGGAATTTTTATGGTAACATAAGTTTCACATTTATAATCCATAAGGCAGCAAGTGAAATGCAGTGAAAGGGGAGGTTGATGAAGCTATGTAATACAAAATATTGCAAATTTTGGAATAATAATAGAATTTGAACACTGAAAGATATAAAATGTGTGCTAGGTACAAAGGACTAGGAGGTGGAGTATAAAGAGCTAGATCTCACTCCAACATTGTCAGTGGTAGTTAAGCACATTTTCTAGCCCTCCTGTGCTCATTACACCAGCCTGTGCTCATTACAGCAACTTGTACTCATCACACCACTGCCACAACATGTGCTCAATGCACTCCAATTTCATTACATCTGTCTGAAAACACTATAGAGCTTTGTTCATATTCTGAGGCACTGTATACTGGGCTAAGGATACCTACTCTTGAGTGCTTACATTGAAGCATACATTATTGACTTCAGGAAAGACCTAAGTAGAACAAATTATTTCAGCAATGACCTTAGTAACTGGAACAAAAACATGAGTATATATCCTTTTGGTAAAGAATTACTGAATTTATTAATGAAGGACTTCCTATCCTTTGATAATGCTTGGCCTAGGGTGAATAAGAATGAATTATTGGCTAGAAATTAGTTAATATGTAAACATACCTGTCCCTTAGTCACTTGATATCCACTCGGCTTATGAAAAACAAAACTTCAAGTTTGATTTGTTTGACTTTCTCCTGATTTAGAGTATTCTCAAAAATTTAAATGTTTTTTCTTTTGTAACCTAAAATTTTGCAAATTCAATGTGTTACTGTACTACATGTTTCTTTGGTATAGTAATGTCACTCATTGGCCATAAAATGGAACTTCACATTTTATAGAACTTTTCTTTATATGCACTTACATCTTTTCCAGAGTGCCCTGTCACAATTAAATTTGCAACAAGTTCAGGTGGTTTTAGACGAGCTGTGTTGGCGTGAACGGTATGGCCACTGTGCAGCACAGGCCTATGTCAATATGATTGATCACATCACGTACCTCACAACACGTGAAGCTGAAAGTAAGTTTTCTTATTACTTGCAAATCTTTATAGTAACTTTGTTCATGTGTGTGCTAGCCTCTCTCTTCCCTCAAGTAGGCCTACAGAACTTCATGTAAGAAAAGAACTGTAAGAAAATGTCCATAGTTGAGGATTCTAAAAAAAGAATAAATGAGGTACAGCTGTAGGCTCACAAAGTGAAACTCGTGTGGGTTCCATCTTGTATTGGAATAGTGCTCAACGAGGTGGTGGGATGATTTTTCATTTTTTTATTTTTTTTATATACAGTATATACAAGGTTCTTACATTCTTTTACAGCCACTAGCACACACAGCATTTTCGGCAGGTCCTTAATCCTATGTTCCCTGGAATACAACCCCACCAAATCGTTTAACAACCAGGTACATAGTTTTGGATTGACACCCAGTAAATCCTTCCCAGCCAAGATACGAACCCAGGACAAAGCGCTCGCGAAACGCCAGGCGAGTGTCTTACCACCAAGCCACGGGGACTGTTAAATTATGGATTGTTCTTCATTGGCTACGGATTAATGTGTGTAGAAATACTGAGATAAAGACAGTTCCTGAACTAATAGCCAGGATGTATCACAACAGAAAGATTGATGATATTCTGGAGAGTTAAAGAATTTTGTTCCAAGATTGTAACCTTCAGTTGAATAGTCTGAATGTCTATTGCATCTTATGTCTATGTACCTAGTCATAAATGTATTTGTGTGTATGTCTAGTAACATACTGCATATGTAAAGGTAAAGGTAGATGTTTATCAACCAGAATGTTCAGTAATATGTTGTTGATTTGTGTTGTATGTATTATTCATATATACAGTACGGTATATGAACACGTTGTACTGAACGGGGTGAGAATAGCTTGAGTTACCTCATCCCTTTGTGTGTATTTATACCTCAATAAACTTGTTTAAATTTTAATCTGGGTTAGTAGGATAATACCTTACTGGGTGTTTTTACAAAGGCTAGAACATTATTTTCTGAGAGTAAAATTATTTTTGCCTCCATTATACACTTAAATAGCCTTGCTTTACATTATAAAGATATTGTTTTGTTTATTTGTAGATCCTGGGGTGTTGCATCTCTTAGATTTTGTCTCTCAAAAGCCACAACACAATTGGAGATACAAAAGTCAACATGTCCCAAAGGGAACCTTATCTTTGCAGCCATCCATAATAATGACAACTCCCACTGCTGGCAGTATCACACCACAGCTGGCCTTGGATTCTACTACATTGGTAAGTAACTTGCAATGCATCTTTAGTACTGTACAGGTTTGAATTAAAAGTGGAATTGGAATTATGCAAATAAGCATGTCTACAAAATGTTTTGAAGGGCATGTGCATGAGCTGGTGGTGGCATTTGGCACTATTGGTTTCAAGCCAACTTTGAATGTTCTGTGTGAACCGTTTGCGGAATTGTTTCGTGTTTTCGAGGCTTTGGTCTGTGTTTACTCTCCAGTTGTCTGTAAAGCTTCACTTTCTGGAATTTTTCATGGTGTGGTGATGAATTGTCACTTATTCTCTGCTCCTTTATGAGAGGGGGCCAGGTTTGGCTCGGGTCCTTGGTAGGCCGAACAGGAACTCCCCTGTCTGATGTGACGCATTTGAATGGAGCAATCTTGAAGAGATAGATTCCGGGAGCCACCGGGGGCTCATCCAGAAATAGGCATTTCATTACATTCACCACTGGATTTTTTCTTGGGGGCTTTGTAGGGATTCTCTCATTCCCATATGCTTGAATGGCATGAAATGTTGAAAGTTTTTCAGGTGTTTTATGGCTGCCCTCTTTATTCTAAGCTCGATGACTGCTCGATTACTCCTGCCAGAATATTGTGTATAGGCTGCACAGAGTGCCAGACTACACAGAGAATACTGGACACACAGACGAATCCACATGTCTTCTTCCTGCCCCCCCACCCCTCCCCCCCCCCCCTTCCCTTCTCTTCTCCAACTTGCCCTACCAGCTGTACAATGATGCAACATCATGTACAATATGTCTTAAATTGTATTATGTTGTTTTGGTATTATTCAGGTGGGGTTTTATCTGGTGCTGAAATGGATGGCAAGCTGGCAACGGACCAAGCTCTAGGCCACCTGATGGTGGCGATCGGTACTAATAGATTCAAGCCAGTTTCAAGGGAATTATTGTATTTTGCTTTGTTTGAACTATTTGGGGAGTTGTTCACAGTTTCATGGTTTTGAATCTTGCGAATCTAGCAGTTGTCTGTAAAGTTTCAGTCTTTGTGAATGCTTTCCTGGTGAAGTGACAGAATGTCACTTGCCCAAGTGAGGAGGGGCCAGGTTCTGGTCTCTAGCAGGCCAGAACACCTGTGCCAGAACACAAACAGGACGCCTGTGGTTTATAGTACGGAGCAATCTTGGTGAGATAGCAACAGGAAGCCACCGGGATTCTAGCAGAAAGAGGTGGCTAGAAAACCCATTACATTCAGTGCTGGGTTTTTGCCACATATACTTTTAAGTTTAATGCATGCCTTTTTTATTTTTACACTTTGTATGAGACTCATTTTATTTGATAAAATGAAAGTCCTCCTGTATAACTTTCATTTTCACATCAGGCAAAATTTTGTTTGCAATTAATCGCTAATCAGATGAGAAATTGTATTGGTCACTAATTTTGCCAAAATAAACAAATTTGCAAAAGTGTGGCAAGGATATATTTATTCATGAACTAAGAAGTGTGACTAAAGTATATGCTTTGACCTTGCAGAAACAGACTCCCATGGAACACACAAACAAGGTGGCTTTAGCTCCCCGTCGAATCCAAGCGTAAGTTACACTTCTCACTTTATTTGAAATGATATAGTAACCGGCTTATTACACAGTTGTAATTGATAATGGTGTTATCACATACATATTGCAATAAAGGATACATTGTATTTTTCATATTAGGAATCCCTGGAGGGAATAGCTTGCTGTAAGAAATTAATTTTCATTTTGCTTCTGCACTTGGTGTCAATAGAATATTTGGAAAATGTCTTCATGTATTGGCTTAAAAACATATAAGACTTATAAGAGTGGGGTGCAACAATGGTCACATTTGCTATTGGGCTGTTTCCCCATGGTGACAGAATCATCATTTATTATATTCTCATGGTTCCTACTGATTTTTCTCACCGATACATCATGTTAATTATGATTGTCATGCATTATTAACTCCTAATGTTTAACTTTGATTAAAGGCATCTCTCTGCCTGTATGCAAAGAATAAGAAAAATCATTGTTTTTTATGAAATGATACATTGCATGCAATAAAAGTAAGGAAAGTTCTAAAATACAAATATTTGCTGTTGAATTTTGTGCACACACCAAGGGATTGGGCCCATGGCTTTTAGCAATGTATATGTGGTGCCTTGGCAAGTAAGGTCCAGTTACAGGCTCGCCATAGCCCATGCTACTTGGAACTTATTGTTCTGAGTAGCTGAATCTAAAACAACAAAAAGCGTCAAGTTCAGGGCTGTGATCAGATCGTTTTATGTGTTTGTCATATTATTTTAGTCTATACAATGTCATTTTAAGGGGTTTGTGTGTTTGTCATATCACCTTAGTGAACATAATGTGTGGAATAACTTGTTTACACATTGACAAAGTGATTTGAGTACTGGCCTACCTACCTGCCTATAGGCCTACCATGTAATATTCTCACTTATACTAGCTGTAAATTTGTTCTAGGCACATCTTAAAGGAAATGCCTTGTAACCCACTTATTTGGTGCTATTTTGTCTAGTATACAAAAAAAAAATATATATATATATATATATATATATATATATATATATATATATATATATATATATATATATATATATATTTTATTTATTTATTTATTTATTTATTTATTTATTTATTTATTTATTTATTTATTTATTTATTTATTTATTTATTTATTTATTTATTTATTTATTTATTTATTTATTTATTTATTTATTTATTTATTTATTTATTTATTTATTTATTTTTTTTTGTCTAGTGCAATCTTCATCTGCAAAAATAATAGCAGTGCGTCTTCCTTTTTTATGGGCTATTCATGAATAAGTATAATACATTCTACAGTTAATATGAGAAGTTCTGATCTGCTTGCATATATGAAGAATGTTGTGCAAGCTGCCACACCATCCACCAGTATACAGACAGTGCTCAGGAATTTTCAGATACATGAAATTCCCGGGCATTTTCCATGAGATGCCAGCCTGCCATTGGCTTTTTCATCTCATGCTTCTGCCTGTACCACTCCCACACTTCACCTTTCTGTTGCATATTGCTTAATCACCTTCACTCTGAGAAAATTATCAAGAATAGTAGCTTTAGCCTTAATAATATCTGATACCAGTCTTGCTGACTTGGTACTCTACTTACAGCACCTAAGTGTGCCACTCTCCATCTTCTTTACACATTCCATTTTCTTATCTAAAGCAATGACAGAATGCTTTCTCTTTGGCTTCCTGCTTGTAGAAGCCCCCACCAACATAATGGTCTATGGATGTTTATAAAATATGCCAATATGTCCAAGAACCACAAAGGAACATCCTAGTGCTGCACTACGAACAAGAGCGTTCACAGTAACGCGTCATTGCCACTCACTCTCACCACTTTATCGTTGACTCGTATCCAATTAAGTAGTGTCCAGAATGCATGTGGCTGTCTGTACACACTATATTTATTTATTTATTTATTTATTTATTTTTTTATTTTATACATTTATAATATAGATAAATGTAACCTTTATTTACAGCTCATCCCTTGGGGTACCAGCAAGTAAGGTTCCAGTAGCTACAATGTCTCCTAAAGCTGATGTGATTGAGTTGGAACCTTTTTACTATGGCCAAATACAAGGCGATGCAACTTTGGGACGAGAACTGAACCTTCACACTTTCACTTGTCATATTTGTAATGTAAGTATCATGTACCAGAACTTTGAAAATAATGTAATTCTTTGGGCATATTTGTGTTGCTTTCTATGAGCATGTTATGGGCATCTAGCAGATATACTTCACAGTGTGATGTATTTATAGTACCTTTGCTCCCCATGAAAATTTCCAAGACACTATCATTAAATGATTTTTCTTTAAAATGATAGATTACAATATAACAAAAATAAATGTTTTCTGAGCTGTGGCTCTTTATCATTCCCATTTCCTGGTGCCTTATTCAAGGCCAAGCCAGAATAAGGCACCATTTAACAATTTTTAACATTTAACAATAAGGCATCAATTTAACAACATAGTAGTTAAGTTTAGACAGCCTGATGTGTGTTTGCATACATTCGTGTTTGCTCCTCGTGCCTCTCTTGAGGGGGCCAGGTTCTGGCTCTGGTCCCCGGTAGGCCTAGAACTCCTTCGATTGACTGTTGCCATGGTCTAATATATACACATCAGCCCGGTGTAGGTCCGAGGAGCCTCTGTACTTAATTATTTTCATAAGTTTGTGAATGATGATGCCACTTTGTCTTCACATTCTTCTAATTGAAGACTTGTGTATAATTACAATACAGTACATCTTTTTATCATTAGGTAACAATAACTAGGGAAATGTCAAATCGTGATAATGCTAAAGATTTATGAGCAAAATCCAGTTCTCCAAGGCCAGTACTGAGAACATGAATTAAGCTGTACTGACCTTGAAAAAACGCTGAACTCGCCAACTGATCTGGACCAGTGAGTAAGGGTTAAAAGGGTTTGGGGTAGTACTTTTGTTTAATTTTAACACTTTCTCTGGTCCGCCGCACAACCACAAGGTAGGCCAAGCATTGCCAGTGAACTCGCCACCACACTCCAATGTTTATACTCTTTTTCAGCTTTCTCACCTCAATTTTTGTGTAACATCTTTCAATTTGGTATCAAATTGTTCATAATAGAATGCTCAAGAGGAATATTTGCATTTAAGACTAAATATAAGAACAACACTACCAATCTCATAAGATAAAGTACATCATCATGTGAAAAAAACGACTTTCGTCATTGTTTACAGTTATTATTTATACCTGGCATTGTTTATGATACCATATCATTCATTGGGGGGTAGAAATAGCCTTAGCTATTCTATCCCTTTGAGATGTATTTCTTTCTTGTCTCAATAAACATACTTGAACTTGAAATATCATTCATTTTTTGTTGCTTCCTGCATAAGTATTTAAACCACAATATCATATGTATACAAAAAATGAATAAACATATCTGTATTTACCACCCAATAATGATTGTAGAGCATGGGTTGAACATTAGGTAGAACCCTTACACCTGCTCCAGGAAAAGATTTCCTAAAGTTGGGGAATGTGATGGCGTTGAGGGAATAGGAAGATGTTGGTGCGCATTTTAAAACAAGTCCCATATTATTCAGACAATAAATTGAATGTTTACAAATTTTTTAAGTAAAAGACTTTCATTTGTTAGTAATGCATTTTTCTTTTTAAATACAGTATTTAAATGAAATGCATAATGTTTTTTTTTTTTTCAGGAAGTTTATGATAGCAATTTGGAGTTCTACACTCACTTGAAGTTTCACCTGGGACGCTCTAGTACTCCTAAAAACAAATTCTGCTGCTCCTATTGCACTGAACACTTAGAAACAGAAGAAGCCAGGAATTACCATCATAAATTTGTAAGTATTGAAAAGTTACCCCATGGATTTTGTTTGGACAAAAGATCCAATGTGAGGAAATCAATTATTATATGTAAAGGGGGAGTAGGTTACTAATAGTGAGAGGTTTGTTACCTGCTTCCAACCACTTTCTACTTCTTCCTATCACTCTTCCCTTCTTCCTATTACTCTTACCTTCTTCCTATCACTCTTCCCTTCTTCCTATCACTCTTCCCTTCTTCCTATTACTCTTACCTTCTTCCTATCACTCTTACCTTCTTCCTATCACTCTTACCTTCTTCCTATCACTCTTACCTTCTTCCTATCACTCTTCCCTTCTTCCTATCACTCTTACCTTCTTCCTATCACTCTTCCCTTCTTCCTATCACTCTTACCTTCTTCCTATCACTGTTTTAATATTAATATATAATAGTATCTAGTGAGGAGTGGAGGCAGTCATGGCAAGGTCGTGTGTGTATATGGTTTCGTAAGTAGAGATACCCAATTTTTTTTTTTTTTTTTTTTTTTTTTTTTGCTTATTTATGCTGTATATACAAGAGTTCTTACATTCTTGTAAAGCCACTTGCATGCTTAGCATTTTGGACAGGTCCTTAATCTGAAGTTTTCCTGGAGTACGACCTGTCAAATCGTTTAACAACTGGGTAGCCTTGATTGCTGGGTGAACAGAGGCTACAGTTAAGGATTGGCACCCAGTCAATCCTTACCGGCCAGGATGTGAACCCAGGCCAAATAACCCGCAAGGCGCGGGGTGAACATCTTACCACTGCGTCACGGGGACTTTTTGTGATTGGTATCTGAAGAATGGATAGATTTTAGGATATGACAAAGGAAGAAGTATCAAAGTAATTTTAAGAGACATTAAATTGTCATATATGTATAACTTGTAAATTAAATTATTAAATGGTTACAATCTAAGCAGCTTTAAAAAATTCTATATATATATATATATATAAATTTTCCCCTTTACACAGAAACACATGCAAATGGATCAAAGATTCACCTGGTGCAGGATATGTTCGGAATCTTTCACTGGGGAGTACCCGTTGGTCAACCACATGGCCAAGAAGCATTATGAGAGTGAGCTACCATATCGCTGTGAAGTTTGTCACTTTTCCACGTCTATTTATTTCAGTGTCATTGATCACTTTAATAAAGTAAGTACATAAACATTAATATTAAATGGGTAACAACACTATTTCAATGCTTTTTACAGTATGTTTCATAATCAGAATTTGATTTAGTTGCATTATATTGTTTTAATGAACTAAGTCATGCTTAGATATATGTACCTTATATCACAAATATCTTAATGCAGTAATTGTAATGTAGAACATCATATATAAGAGTCTTATATATTTACTCTGTTGAAACTTTAATGGTGACTGAAGGTTGTACCTGTGAATGGTTACTGTGAAGGTTGTACCTGTGAATGGTCACTGTGAAGGTTGTACCTGTGAATGGTCACTGTGAAGGTTGTACCTGTGAATGGTCACTGTGAAGGTTGTACCTGTGAATGGTCACTGTGAAGGTTGTACCTGTGAATGGTCACTGTGAAGGTTGTACCTGTGAATGGTCACTGTGAAGGTTGTACTTGCGGATTGTGACTATGAAGGTTGTACTTGTGAATGCAAGCATATTGAAAGAGGTTGCATATATTAGGAAAGAACTGCTGCAAGTTACAGCTACAGCAGGCTTGTATAATAAATGTTCAATGTTAGTGTAGCCAGCTATAGGTGTGTGTGTGTGTATATATATGTATGTATGTATGTGTATGTATATGTCCATTGTAACCGTGCATATGGCTTAAAAGTTTATAGCATGTACGTTCATTACAGGAGCATAAAGATACACCATATGTACAGTGCCACTACTGTCTCAATGTGAAGTTCATCACTGCTACTTCTGCCAGCACCTTTTCCCAGCGCATGTTCCAGCATTTACAGGTGAGTGTCGTTATTACTGTTGAGAGGTGAGACGTTCTGCGGCTGGTGCCTGTGTTTTATTTGTGGTGAATTGTGCCCGTCACCTGCTCAATATGCCATGTATCAGATATTTATATCTAAGTTTATAGAACTATTGCTAGGATTTGACTGTTGAATTCGGTATCATAATGTTCAGAAATTTGTGTCTTGAGCCTAGTTACATAACAAATTTTATAAACGCTGTTGGGTATCCCAAACATAACTAAGATACAAAAGTTCACAAACATTTCTGCATTGCAGTTATATAGTCATATAACTCTGTATTACTATATCTGTTTTTTTCTGTATGTAGTTGCTATTCATAAAACTCAATAAATTCTGTATTCAATTTAGTAAATTGAATAAAAGGATAGACTTGAAAAAATAAACATGGACCTTACAAACATTCAATGGGAAACTGTTCTAAACAATAAAAATCCCCCACGAGGAATAGAGCAGCTGACTTTATAAGCATATAAAGTCTGTTTGAAACATGTTCCTTTCTGGAAAGCCAGAAAGAGGTCTAACTTAGAAAGAAAACACTACAAAAAAAAAAAAATTACAAAAATTTGTAAGCAGACACAACTATTCCTACAAAGAAGGAATAATTTGAACAGAGATTGAAGAAATCGAGCAGAGACTGAAGCATTCATATAAGATTGAAGAAATGCAACTAGAACAGAAAGCAATACAAGAAATAAACAAAAACCCTAAATATTTCTTCACATGCGAGATCAAAAGCAAAACCACGTCAGTATGAAATCTATTCTTACAAGTGAAGGTTCATACACTGAAATGACAAGGAAATTAGTGAAATCCTTAAAAAGCAGTATGAGGACATGTTTAGCACTCCAATAAATAGCATGAAAGTGGAAGATCCGGACAACTTCTTTATGCGTGACATCCAACCCCCTGAAAATACAACTGATAGAGACACAAGCATGGCAGATTTTGAAAGAGAAATTGACAATATGCCCATGCACTCATTCTTGGGTCTAGACTCATTTAATTCAATATTTATAAAGAAATGCAAAGTGCCTGTAGCACACTCACTCAGTATAGTATGGAGGAAGAGTTTGGACATGAGGGAGATACCAGATGCGCTTAAATCAGCAGACACAGCACCTCTACACAAGGGAGGGAGAAAAGCATTGGCTAAGCAATTTAAGACCAGTTGCACTAACGTCCCACATAATAAAAGTATTTGAGAGGGTGATCAGGAGACAGATCTCCAGTTTCACGGAGACGAATGAACTCCACAACACAGGCCAACATGGATTTAGAGCAGGAAGATCATGCCTCTTGCCGCTACTTGACCACTAAAACAAAATTGGTGAGGCATTAGACGAAAAACAGAATGCAGATGTGGTATACACGGATTTTGCAGAGGCATTTGATAAATGTGACTAAGGAGTGATGGCACACAAAATGAGGTCAGTGGGAATAACAGGTAAAATAGGATAGTGGATATTAAAAGTCTTGGTCCAAAAGTATTGGTAAAACTGTCTCTGTCTCATATTTGTTGCAGCTTTGTTTTTCAACAGCACTATTTTGCACTTCTGTCATGCCTCTTGGCTTCTGGAGGAGTTATTTCTGTGTGCAGATATGGAACAAGTCACTCTAATATTTTCCAAGTGTAAATTATCATGCATCTCTTTTGCCTGCATTCTTGAGAATACAACTTTTGACATTTAAAACATTCCCAGTAATGTAGATGTTTTATTGAATGGATTTGGACAGTAAAAGATCTCTGCATGCTCTCCAGGTCAGCAACTTTTCCAGTTTTAAATAAGCCAGTTAATGCAATAATAATCCACCCTAGAGAGCACTAGTGTCTTAGAAAACTGCCATCATTAATGTGGCATCTCTTGTTTGAAAGGTTCTTGTTATCAAGCGAATTATTTTCCTTGCAGTTGTGACAACTACTTTATTTTCATTAACCCTTAAAGAGCGATGATTGTCATATGATGATGCACAGGGTAATGCAGTTATCATCAGATGATGAGCCCCTGGGCTGCACCACTCATTATACCATGCAACGCTCTCGTTCACATATAATAAAATAAAAACAAATTTAATTGTAATATTGTTAACATGCATTTACTGATCGTTGGAAAAATGTTGTTTAATTTTTGAATGTCTTTGTAATTTCTGAGATTGTATTTACATTTGGCTGTTCATTAGTGTTGACATACCTATGTGCCAAATACAATTTGTTAGTAGCCTCTAAGTTTGTGAGTAGGCAGCTAGGAGTGTTTCTCTGTCATCTACAAGAATATTTGTCAAAATTTCAATTATCTTCAGGAAGGCGATATTATCCCGATCACAAAACCAGTACAGTGCGTGTTTGCCCATTTTGTTTCATTATCTGATATATTGGCACATTTACTGTGTGTGACTAAAGAACAGATTGACATTCAGTATATTGGGGATAAACTACACTGGTTTTGCATTTTGTGAAAGGTATAATTGCAGACATTTTTCCTAATCACTTCTAACTACAGTATTTGAGTTATTAGGTAGTAAATCAAAAAATATTGGTAACCTATGCTGGGTGTGTTAGACACACCTACTTAATGAAAGCTTATGTAATTACAAAATTATATAATTTTTATAGTGTATATTTTTATAATATATTTTTAGGTATGACTGATATACTTTGGAACAATATAATGTATATTTTTCACATTTCAGAAACATGCTTCTCAACAAGGCAAATGCAAGTTTTGTGTACTGTCTTTCTACAGTAAATACCTCCTTGAGGAACACAAGAAGAAAGATCATGCTAGTTGTGCTCAAGTTAGAGGTAAGATCATTTTGCACTTTATCTTGATGTTAATGTGCAGGCAAAAAAAAAAAAAAAAAATTAAATTGTTCTCATCTTTTGTGTGGTGTTTCAGGTTTACAACGCTACAAAGTGCCTGCTGGCCAGAACCGCATTATGTTCAGACCGTGGGTGAAACGTTTATCTGCAACAAATAACACAAGTTCAACCTATAATGCAACCAACCGACAAAATTCTCTTGTGGCAATATCATCAACTATCGAAGTAATGACAAATGTAACCATTACATTGGATACTGAAGATCAAAGTTATTATTGCCTCGAATGTGATGCTAGTTTATCTCTGGAAAACCATTTCAGGTATGTAATTGAGTGTAACTTCCAGTATTTTGTTTTGTAAATTATTATAATGCAGTACCTCTTATTGTCTTTTAAGGTTAAACGTATTGGCATCAAATTAATGTTTCACATGTACTGTTCTGTTTTTGCTCAAGCATAAGAGTGGGATCCCTCATTAGCTGTCAGAGCTAATATCTAGGACCACCAAGTCTTGGCCCAACACAGCAGGCTTTTGGAGACCTACCTGATGCCTATCAAGAGCCAGGACCTGAATCTGGCTCACTCTATAAGATGAGGGGAAACAGGGGTAAAAAATCAACCTAATATCTAGGAAATGCTTATCAACGAGCATAGGCATAACAAAGCAAGTGAATACTCGAAGGAAATTAGTCAACCCTAAGTAAGCAAGGCAAATGATTTTGCAGGGTAAATATCCTAACCAAAATGTGCTGGTCGTCCAGCAGATGCCAGGCCACCTGGGATCTCAGCCAGCCTGCTCCCTAACTTCTGCTTGATGTCAGCAGTTCAGGACAGTCTGGCAAAAAAAAGAGGTGTTGACAGAGCAGGCGCCAGATGGGGTCTGCTCTGCCCCAGCTGTCAGGCGGGAGTTGCCACAAAGATGATATTATCTAATTATTTAAATGTCTCTGGTTGATTTTTTCTTAGTGTTTTGTAATAATATTATTTAATAGTGTATAGTGTGATATATTTATATAGTAAAATGTGTGAATCATTGCTATACTCAAAATTATGGTGTGCATATTATTGATTCAAATATTATGTTCATAAAACAATAAACAAATACTTTGTCAGCTATTACACTATATACACACAGGTTACTCATAAGTATCTGCATGTTTTGTTCACCATAACGAACCACTAAGTTGATATCTCGAGTCAAAAAGTAACGAGGAGTGGCCACCTCATCTGCCAGCCTGCCACTCCCTCCCTCAAAAACTCCTCACTCGCCCACATCCTCCTCCCACCGTACCATTTTTGCTTTTATTCACTATATACAGACATTATATATAAGTATCTACATGTTTTGTTCACCATAACTGTTCATCTAAGCTGGTATAGTGCACAAAGAGCATAGTGGCCCAACCCGTCCTCTTAAAAAGAACGTCACTTTTGGCTGGTATGCGCACTATGGCTAAATTTGGACGTAATTTGAAATGAAATCGACTCACAAAAGTGACGTTCTGTTCCGTTTTCTATTTGAGTCGTCCGGCGTACGCGCAGAGGTTATAAGAGGACACTTTAAATTAACGATTTTCATAACGTTTTGAAACTTTATAAGAATTTCCTGCCCACCTAACCTATCAGAGGACCCTTAACTTACTGTTGTTGAAAAAAAAATCCCAAATTTATTTTCATTTTTTTTTTTCATTTTCAAATTACGTCCAAATTCGGCCATACGGGCAAACGGCCAAAAGCGACGTTCTTTTTAAGAGGACAGGTTGAGTGGCCACCTTACACAGCCTGTGCAAATTGTTTTTAGGAAACTTGTATATTTGTTATTATATAATTATTTCTTTTGTTTTTGACTGATGAATTGTTCTAAAATTAATGGTAATTCCTGTAGTGTATAGGCCCCTCCACATCCCCCCAGGCAGTCCCTCCCAATGCTCTCCTCTCTCCCAACACCACCCACCCACCCCATCCTCTCCTACACCATGTGTCTAGAGCCACAGCCGTACGGGTTTAATACGGTACGGTCCGATGCCTGGTTTTCTGATCCGGACTATTCGCCACTTGTCCGGCTTACTGTCCGGATTGGGTAACATCGGCAGGAAGTTAACCGGCTCAGATTTCTTATCTGGCCAAACATCGGCTAGTCCGGCTTCCATGGACATTTTGGCCAGATGGGAAGATAACTATCCGGCCACAATTTTGGCCGGATTAGGTCATTTTCCGGATAGGCAGATTCCGGATTAGCGAGCTTCTACAGTACAGTACTGTGTATTTTAATATAATAGGCTGGTGCCATTGGCACCATGCCAGAATAGGTTGGTGCCATTTTTTCATTTGTCTACTAGCCCTTTCTCAAAGTTTATTTCCCCTTCTCTCTCATTGTCATGTAGTTTTGGGCTCCTTTATAAATATTGATTTATTTGTTGGTTAAGTCTTCTGCATGATCATAGGATAATTAAATATAACATTTGTTAAGGGAGTATACAATGCATGGTATTTCTGTATGTATCTTTATCCTGATATTTTTCCTGTATAAAATGTAATTAAATACAATTTGTTTTCAGAGCTTATCAGAGGTGTACTAAATGTACCTATGCGACTTGTTGCCGAAGTATGATTAGCAAGCATTCCCAAGTGTTCCATCCAACTGGAAGAAGCAAACGAGGCTACTACAACATTGGTCCTCCAATTATCCTTCCTAAACCAATGTTCTGCATATGTGGATTCAGCACTCGCAGTGGCAACCATCTTGGTTTGTTTTTATAATACTTTTCTTGATCAGAGTAGAGATTTGTTTTTATAGATTTGTAGTTTTACAGTCTTGTGATAATTAGCTTAGTTTACAATGAGGTCATACATGAATAGATGAATCTTATGAATCTCATCTTGAGAGAATGAGTGTGTGTTACAGAAGAAAAGGGAGTGTGGAGTGGTTAAGGAGTAGGGGGGGTGGAGGGAGGGAGGATGGAAGGTGGAAGAATGATGGGAAGGGCTGTGGATAGGGTAGGGACAAGGATGGTGTTTACAATGAATACTGTACGTGGAAATGAGGTTTAGCTCTGTCCCACCTTCTAGGCTTTTTACGGACTTATTTTACTTTCCCTGACATCCAGATTCTTTTATCATATCTGGTCTTAAAGTTGTGTAAGGAGGTGGCTTCTGCAACTACTATTAGTGCATTTCACTTGTTGACCAATACTGCACGGGGTATGAGTATTTCCTTGTGTGTTTGACTCATTTGTATTTTCAGTTAGGATTCAACCTTCTTTGCCATTATCTTCTGCCAATACCAATATCTTACTCCATCTGCTACATTACAAACACAATTCAGTGCTTGTCTCAATAAAACCCCATGGTGAATCAGGTATCTCCTGATTATTCTTCAACACAGTGCTAAACTAAGTGCCTTCTTTTTATATTTAATTACTTTTCCACAATGTGTATTTGTGAGTGAGTTTGTGATTACTTGTTGTGCCTTCATCCTAGTCAAGAGGCTCTTGCCATTACTGATGTGCAACACTGGATATTTAGTTTGGTTTGTTTACTATGTACACCATACCCTAATACAGAGGAAAGGAGTTTGTTAGTCGAGTCGATTATATACAACTTGAATTAGCTATCGTGCATTCCATACACATACAATAGGCTTCAGTGCAAAGGTTACAAGTGCCTGCATGCTATACCTTCAGTTGGGCATCATGCTGCTGACTTAGTTAGGAATTTGTGACCATGGTGGAGACTTTTAGTGCTAAAGTGAAATATAGTGTGCATTATAGTATTTTGTAAATAACCTGCCTTCTTCTACTTGACTTCGGGATATTAATAGGTGTAGAATCATTGCAGAATTTCAGTGGCAACCGTTACAGATAAAAATTAATTATAATTTTAGTGCTCCCGAGTGAGGCTATATAGAATATTTGTGGAAAGGGGAGGGGGAGTGTTTTCATTAAATATATAGAAAATCAATGAAATTAATGCTGTATATTATGTTTCAAAAATCTTACATAAAAAAACATTGGTTATTAGGATTTGTGCTCGATGCCTTCTTTTGATAATTACTCGATTTGTATTGGGAATTATTACTGGGTATTTTTTTTATTAAAACTACTCCCATAATAATAGAGCAATAACTGGAATTTTAACAAATATTTAAATTTTGAACGCTCATCATCACAAAATTATTTATCTCTTTCCGGTGTTCTGACATCAAGTTTCGTGTTACATCTTTCATTTTGGTATCAAATTGTGCGCTCTCTAAAGGTGCTCATTTTGAAACTATCCCGAAGTCGATCGGATAATAAGTAAATTTTATACAAATATTTTTATTGGACGCACATCATGTCCAATGCTCGGACTCGAGAGAAAAAAATCGAACGCTAGTTGCGTTCGAAGAGTGCTATAATGTTAATATACTTTGTAATTAGAACATGTAAATCTTTAACAAATATCAGGTTAGGTGATTTTGCTGAAGAATAAATCTATTAGGAAAAATCAAATTGTAGCAAACATTTGATTTTTTAATCAAAATTCTTTGTGTGAAAAATATCTTGGTAATTATTGACTTGAAACGACTTATTTGTTACAGGTAGATTTCTGTACAGTAAATCTGAAGTTTTTAAACTTAACTATATCATAGCTTGATTGGTGGGTGAGGTATTAAGATAATAAGTGCCAGCTAAAAGTCAGTGATAGTAGAAATGATTTTTAAGCAAATTAATTTTTAATTGGCATAAAGAATTTAATATTTAAACTTCCTGTTATTGATCAATTTAACCAATGATAAACAAAAGTTTTGTGTGTGACACTGCTAGAGTGCTATCTTCTAATTCCACCTTGTGCATCAACAGCACGCCACCTGTCCATGTGTGAAGGTGGGAGGAAGTCTGCTTATCCATCCATGTCAGATGCCATGGTGTACAATGGAGACCCCATTACTGTGGATGCATTGTCCTTGGCTAATCTTGGTCTCAGCAACATTGCTATAAGCGGCATACTTCCAGAAACAACACTTGTGTCAACAATGCCCGATGCTCAAACAACACGTGACCAGACACTAGACATGACTCACTTCATGAGTATGAGTATGGAAATAGATGAAGAAGGTTGAAAAGTGCATATTTTTTACAATGACAAAATTTATCTTACCAAAAAGGCCTGTACTTGCTATGATTTCTTTCTTTCTTTCGTGATCTTGGAAATTAAGGTGCATTGGATATCTCTAAGGACTTAAATTGTGTCATCTAAGTTTTAGAGCAGTTTAGCTGGTCTTAATTAAATTCTTAAGACTTAATAGTGATTGATATTTAAATTGTACATAGATTTCATACTTTTTTTTTATTCAAATATCGATCATTTACGGTGTGTAAATTATAACTTTCATTATATATTTATATATCATTTTGATAAATTCTGTTGACATTGTTTTCTGTTATAGGCATTTAAAATGCTGGATGTAAATTATTAATTTGATAGGAAAGGCACACTTGAGTGTCATTTTGAAGTATCACGCAATACTGTATGGGTTCAACAGTAGTGATGTATTTTTGTTTTTTTTGCCATTACAGTACTTGTATTAATAGAATGCTGGATTTCAAACTTATTAATTAAAAAAAACTTGGAAGCTACACTTTCTGTGTACCGCATTACTGTAAAATGAGTAAAAATTGTAGTGTGTGTATATATATATATATACATATATATATATATACATATATATATATATATATATATATATATATATATATATATATATATATATATATATATATATATATATATATATATATATATATATATATATATACATATATATATATATACATATATATATATATACATATATATATATATACATATATATATATACATATATATACATATATATATATATATACATATATATATATATATATATACATATATATATATATATATACATATATATATATATATATATATATATATATATATATATATATATATATATATATATATATATATATATACATATATATATATATATATATATATATATATATATATATATATATACATATATATATATATATATATATATATATATATATATATACATATATATATATATATATACATATATATATATATATATACATATATATATATATATATACATATATATATATATATATATATATATATATATATATATATATATATATATATATATACATATATATATATATATATATATATATATATATATATATATATATATATATATATATATACATATATATATATATATATACATATATATATATATATACATATATATATATATATATATATACATATATATATATATATATGTCGTACCTAGTAGCCAGAACTCACTTCTCAGCCTACTATTCAAGGCCCGATTTGCCTAATAAGCCAAGTTTTCCTGAATTAATATATTTACTATAATTTTTTTTTTTATGAAATGCTAAAGCAACCCTTTTCTCTATGTATGAGGTCAATTTTTTTTTATTGGAGTTAAAATTAACGTAGATATATGACCGAACCTAACCAACCCTACCTAACCTAACCTAACCTATATTTATAGGTAAGGTTAGGTTAGGTAGCCAAAAAAAGCTAGGTTAGGTTAGGTTAGGTAGGTTAGGTAGACGAAAAAACATTAATTCATGAAAACTTGGCTTATTAGGCAAATCGGGCCTTGAATAGTAGGCTGAGAAGTGCGTTCTGGCTATTAGGTACGACATATACATATACATATATATATATATATATATATATATATATATATATATATATATATATATATATATATATATATATATATATATATACATATATATATTATATATACACACACACAAACACACAAGCTTGAATGGTCCCCAAGCCAATATGCAACTGAAATTGCATATTTGGCAATAACTATATATATATATATATATATATATATATATATATATATATATATATATATATATAGTTAATATATATATATATATATATTATAATTTGTGTTGGTGCAGAAAATCACATAATAAAGATAGATAAAACTCAATATACGAAGTATGTTTGTGTAGCACATGTTGAGGCGAGTAGAGAGAACGAGAGTACACAATGGCAAAAATAGCAAGACAGGTGGTAATGTTCCCTAGAGGGTGTGATTAACCTCTGTAATGCGCACCTGTTTTATGTGGTAACTCTGTGGTGTTCACGAAAAAAGACAATAAAAAAATTGTTTTATAACATTGTTAAAATGTGTTCCCTGATCATAGGAAAATTGAAAAACGGGTTTACGTAGTTTCCTTTGGCTGTGGTGGAGAGGAAAACTTGTAATGATATCATAAATTCATGAGCATTGACGGATGAGATGGTTACAGAGGTGGTTACCAGGGACAGACATGATGGGGGGGGGGGGGAAGCAGCTGCGAATGTATATATATACAATACTGTAATTGGTTAATTTGAGAGATTTCTCTAATAAAACGTGCGGAACATCAATACACACACACACAAACACACTCACATTCATGTCACTAATATGTGCACAGTATTATATTCTTAGAATACACATACTGTTTATGCCATGATCACACTGAATACATGTTACATATAACTACATTAACAAATCTACAAGGGCCTTGATGCAACCCGTGTCCTCTTAAAAATAACATCGCTTTTTGCTCGTATGCATTCTGTGGCCAAAAATGGACGTAATTTGAAATGAAATCGGCTCACAAAAGTGATGTACTGTCCAGTTTTTTGTTTGAGTCGTCTGGCTTACTCGGGAAGGTTAGGAAAGGAAACTTTCAATTAACGTTTTTTATGATGTTTTGAAACTTTAGGAGAATTTCCTGCCCACCTAACCTACCAGAGGACCCTTAACTTACTGTTTTGGAAAAAAATATCTAAAATTTATTTTAAATTTTGTCATTTTCAAATTACGTCCGTTTTTGGCCATATGGACAAACGGCCAAATTCAGACGTAATGTGTAAGATTGGTTGCTTGATGATGGTTCGAACCTACGCACGATGTTCCCAGATGCGCCTTAGTCAACTGTATCACAACATGGTACAATCTACATGTTTATGCACCATTGCAAGCTACTTAAGCAGTCCTGGTGAGTGTGATAAACTCATATCCATTGATCCAATTGAATATATTTTCTTTTAGCTGTATTTTTAATGTTTACACCGTGGCTTTTAAAAATGCAATGATGCATTGGGCTGTCGTTGTTATTTTTATCACAGAATGTGTTGAACATCAACATCCACAGGTATATTTATCACTAATATGTGCACCACATTATTAGAACAATAAAACATACAGTTTTTGCTGTTGTCACACTGTATTCACACACTATATATACAGTAACTACATCTTTATGCACCATTATAAACAACTAAGCAGTTCTGGTGGGTGTGATAATCTTGTAACCATCGATCCAAGCTCATCTTGGCTCCATGCACTCATCAGATGCCAATGTCACATGACAAAGCAAAGTGCAGTTCGATATACTAACACTTAGCTAAAACATGCTGCTTATAATATCAGAATCCTGGACACTAAATCCTAAATATGAATTATTATTCATAATTGTAAGCGTAAATCTTTCACTATACCTAAAGATTACCGTGGTTGACACACACACTACTGATGAAACGACCCTGGTTGATACACCACTGATGAAATGACCCTGGTTGATATGCACAGTTGAAGAGTAAATTAAGTAGTCAGGTAAGTGTTTTATAATTTAAGTTATATTAATAACAAAATATTTGTAAATTTACATAAATGAAAATATATTAAGGTGCCACATTTAATGTATAAATACAACAAAATTACAATTAACATGCAATTTAATTTACATGAATGGGACATTTAATTTTCTATTAAATTCTCATATTTTGCTGGCAAGTTGTTGGACTGAAAGTGCACGATGGTAATAAGGAAGAAAGAAAGAATAATTATGCCAAGATAAGAGGGAGAAAGGAAAGCATGTAATGACTTACGGGAATGTTCCCCTCTGCCATAATGCCTTCAAAAATATAAAAGTTAATCATGATTATACCCCAAAGTGAAAGTATTTTGAATAAACTTTTATAAAAAAAAAGTTATAGTACTGTACTGTATACAGAAAACTGATTAGCCAATGAAAAAGTATAAAATAAAAGAAAAAGGTAATTATACCATTAAGCAAGGCACATTGACAAAAATGCAACAACACCAAAAGTATGGTCACTCTTCCATCTTATGTTATTAATGTCTGATGTATTGATATAATACAGTACTGTACTGGTGTAATTACCTAAGTGTAGTTACAGGATGAGAACTACACTCGTGGTGTCCCGTCTACCCAGGACTTTTTGTCATATAACACTTTGAAACTACTGACGGTTTTGGTCTCCACCACCACCTCACTTAACTTGTTCCAACCGTCTACCACTCTGTTTGCGAAAGTGAATTTTCTTATATTTTTCCGGCATCTTTGTTTAGTTAGTTTTAATCTATGACCTCTTGTTCTTGAAGTTCCAGGTCTTGGGGAAATCTTCCTTATCGATTTTATCAATTCCTGTTACTATTTTGTACGTAGTGATCATATCACCTCTTTTTCTTCTGTCCTCTAGTTTTGGCATATTTAATGCCTCTAACCTTTCCTCGTAGCTCTTGCCTTTCAGTTCTGAGAGCCACTGTGTGTGGTAAGAATCGGTAGCAGTAGAATCAGAGCAGTAGCTGGTAAGAATCACTCTCCACCTGGAATGCCCAAGTTGTTGCCAGTGGATTCAAATGGCAAAATATGGTGCTTTATTAAATGGATGAGCAGTTGTAACATATTTGCCAGTGATCAGATGTATACATATGTTGCTCTACATCAACACTTCAATTTATACATTAAGTACATGTTGGCTTCGTACACCACCACGGAAAGGGGAGTGACCTAAAACAATAAAAAGCATGAGGATTTAGATGGTGTTTAATAATAATTAATGCAGCAGGGTTATTCTGGGGTGGACAATTAGTTGTAGCCGAGAGAGTGGTATTAACCAAGGGCATTGACGACTTCAATGCCAGTTCAGTGTAACTACAAGTTTGACAGATGGCATGACAAAATTTTTTTTTTTCATTTTGTTGGCTCTTCTGAAGACCAGCCAATGTGCCACAAAAAAGGTAAATGAACAAATTAAATTTTTCATATTTTTGTTTGCATTATTATTTTTAGTCAGTCTATATATATATGTATGTGTGTGTGTGTGTGTACTTACCCAAGTGTAGTTACAGGATGAGAGCTACGCTCGTGGTGTCCCGTCTTCCCGTGTGTGTGTGTGTGTGTACTCACCTAATTGTGCTTGCGGGGGTTGAGCTTTGGCTCTTTGGTCCTGCCTCTCAACCATCAATCAACTGGTGTACAGATTCCCGAGCCTACTGGGCTCTATCATATCTACATTTGAAACTGTGTATGGAGTCAGCCTCCACCACATCACTTCCTAATGCATTCCATTTACTATCTACTCTTGACACTGAAAAAGTTCTGTGTGTGTGGGTGGGGGGAGGGAGGTTCTCGTATTGGCATCCTTGATGATATTTAGCGCCCTCTGATTATTCTGCACATTTGATGGTGCTACATAGCCTTCCCAGTTTGCTGCCTTCTCTTGATAATTACTTACCTCATTATTAATATGCATTGGAGGTAAGGCATTATCTAAAATTAATAGTTCCTAAACTTTGTGTACTACATTCCAATGTTTTGTCTGACTGCAAAAATAATTGCAAAACCATTTTCCAACTAAAATATCCTATGTTAACCAAACATTCTTTGAATGACGGTAGTCTACAGAATGTTTGTAAGACAGTTCTTGATGATCAAGGCTTTGCAGCTTTGATAACTACACTCATCATTCTGTGACTGCCATCGGCACGTGTACAAACTCAACTGTAATTCTTTTGATAATTTTATGGCTGGGCACAGTGTCCTCTAATCAAGCTATTGTTTAATACACAGTGCCAGTTGATTTTAGTGTAATTGGTATTATAATTTTTTTAATTAAAACAAATTTTTGATCATTATTTTATTCTTAAATAGATCTAACCATGCAGTAGTAAATTACATTTTGTCTCGACTTCACAAAAGGCCTTGTTTAGCTGCTCTAAGTTTTTGCCTTGACTTATTAAAAGCATCGATTACAGCTACGGTAGACAGCTGCCAGCCAGATTGATTCTCCATTTGTGGAGTGAAATCTGAAGTTTGAAAAGAATTTTCATTCATTATAGGGCTTCACTATCAAATGATTTTAAATTAAAATGATTTAACAGTAGATAAAGGTGAAAAATGTGCAATTTGTCAACACAGTTGGATACCTATCTCCTAAGATGGGTAGAGTCTACAATAATTTACACAACTGGTGCACCTGAAATGACCTATACCCACTTCAGAACACCACCCCCCCTTGGTGTGTGTGTACTCACCTAATTGTGCTTGCAGGGGTTGAGCTTTGGCTCTTTGGTCCCGCCTCTCAACCGTCAATCAACAGGTGTACAGATTCCTGAGCCTACTGGGCTCTATCATATCTACACTTGAAACTGTGTATGGAGTCAGCCTCCACCACATCACTTCCTAATGCATTCCATTTGTCAACCACTCTGACACTAAAAAAGTTCTTTCTAATATCTCTGTGGCTCATTTGGGCACTCAGTTTCCACTTGTGCCCCTTGTGTTAAATAGCCTGTCTCTATCTACCTGGTGATCATGTCCCCCTTAACTCTTCTGTCTTCCAGCGAAGTAAGGTTTAATTCCTGTATCCTCTCCTCGTAGCTCATACCTCTCAGCTCGGGTACTAGTCTGGTAGCAAACCTTTGAACCTTTTCCAGTTTGGTCTTATCCTTGACTAGATATGGACTCCATGCTGGGGCTGCATACTCCAGGATTGGCCTGACATATGTGGTATACAAAGTTCTGAATGATTCTTTACACAAGTTTCTGAATGTCGTTCTTATGTTGGCCAGCCTGGCATATTTGACCCCGAGCCAGAACCTGGCTCGGGGTCCCCAGTAACTAAAGTAGAACTTTGTGACTAATGGTATGTAGTAGTTGGCATTATCAAATACAGTATCATTAGGAAGCTACTGGGGCTCACCCAGAAATGTGTGTGTTGTTACATTCAAGTTTTTTCTCCCACAAGATACAGCTGTCATAGGAAGAGTGTCCTAAGTTGAGCAGTACAACATTTAAAAATTTCCTCCTGGCACTAGTACCTCAAATGTCCCTGCTATCAAGTGACACAAGCATACTATGTTTAGCATGAAAGATACGTTCCTAGAAATGGGAGCACTAAATAAATTGGCATTATACAGGGTCATTATATGAATAACCCACATGGAGATATATTCCAGACATCATAATTCATTACATGACAATTTAGGGGTTCACTGGGTTACTGGAACAATAACAAATACACATAATACTGTACCTGTCTCAGACAAGTCTCCTTGTATCACTGTATTGGTTCTCAGTTCTAGAATTCCACTGCTCAGGGTACTGAAACCTAGACGACTTACACGTTTCATCTGAAAAAAGATCAAGAATTGAATGTAATGTATTTCCCTTTATTGGTGTGTGTGCAGCAGTTCTGAGCTTAACTTAGATTAAATCAAGCCTCAGCCAACACACTAGATCTTTTTAGGAAGACCTAATTGTTTTTTCTCCTAAACTAAGATAATGTGTATTGTATAGTACAGTATGTTGTTTCATAATCATTCAGTGGCTACATGTAATTGATTTTATTAATTATCTTTGGAATGCTGCCACAATTTTAAACACTGGTTTCATTAATAAACTGTTAAGTTTTATGTAAAATATATAAAGAGTATCTTGGTGAATTTTTAAAGTTAGTATAGCTTATCTTAAAATAATGTCTTAGTATATAGAAAAAATGAAGTTATAGCTATCTTGAGGTTATCTTGAGATGATTTCGGGGCTTAGCGTCCCTGCAGCCCAGTCCTCGACCAGGCCTCCTTTTTGTTACACACCCCCAGGAAGCAGCCCGTACCAGCTGTCTAACTCCCAGGTACCTATTTACTGCTAGGTGAACAGGAGCCATTTGTTTCTGCTTCCACTGGGGATCGAACCCGGAACCTTAGGATTATGAATCCCAAGCACTGTCCACTAACTGTCAGGCCCCTATAATATAATGCAGATTCTGCTATATATAATATAAAATAATACCTGTAGCAGAATCTGCTATAATACAGATTCAGTAAGGAAAACTTATTAATTATAAACTTTCCATTAAAAGTTGCTATAAAATAGCCTGCTCCTACATGCCTCAGTATTGCTCCCAACAGCAAGATATGAAGGGTCTGCCATAAGTTGACAACCTCCAATGAAGAACCTTCGCATTAGTGATAATGGAGACAGTTGTGCGGGACGCCAGGTAGCCACAGAATGTACCTTGCTAACCATGTTTTCTCTGCAGCAATCATTGGCAACATTTTCTGTAACAAAAATAAGCTGGCTAGATATACAACATGTATATTAGAACAAAACTTGCCAGGGTTTTCAATAGACAAGTTTGGCCAGGGTGAGGGGGGAAGTTAATCAGCAGTGGGGCTATATGATAGTAATATTGAGTATAACAAAGCAACTAGATGTGACAAGAGAGCAGGTAGAAAAACTGTTCAAAAAATTAGGCAGGCAATGTAGTTGGGCCAGATGGAGTCTCACCTTGGGTTCTGAAGAAATGTGCACCAGAGCTTAGCACTCTGCTACAAATTATCTTTCAGACATCCTTACATATAGGGAACCTAGCAGATACTGTTTATGGAAAAAGGTAAACGGTTCCAATCTGCAAAAGTGGTAACAAAAAAAGACTAAATTATAGACCTGTACAATAAAAAGCATGGTAGTCAAATCACTAGAAAAAATAATTCAAAGCAAATGGGAAGGGAACCTGGGAAGAAATTATTGTACTGTACATAGAAAGCCATACTGACTTATTAACAGGAAAATCATGTGTACAAAATCTATTAATTTTTTCCATGAATCTTTTCAAGAAATAGATGGTTGGATTAACTGCATCTGTCTAGACCTTAAAAAGTCTTTTGACAAAAGTCGCATACAAGAGAACGTTCTAGAAGCTACATCATGCTGGAGGGGGTGACAGGCAGACTTCTGACATGGCTGAAAAATAGTGACAGGGCAGTAATTAGAGGGACTGGAGAAAATTTGTTCAGTACTAGCTGATGGTTCAGTACTACAAGGTTCAGTACTACAACAAGGTTCAGTACTACAACAAGGTTCAGTACTAGCTGAAGGTTCAGTACTATATCAAGGTTCAGTACTACATCAATGTTCAGTACTACATCAAGGTTCAGTACTAGCCCAAGTAATGTACATTGTTTATATAAATGATCTACCAGAGAAGATACAGAATTATATGAGCATGTTTGCAGATAAATTACTAGGAGAAAGAAGACTAATGACTGTCATATCCATCAAGATGACTTGGACAAAATAAGTGAATGGAGCAATCTATGCTTGTAAACATCAGAACCGCTGTTATATATGTGGGACAGTGCTACATAAGTCTTCCCAGATTGGTGCCTTCTTTCAAAAATTACTTACTTATAAACATGTCGATGGAGAAGTGCTAAAGAAATTGTTCATGCATTTGTAAAACCAAAATTGGAATATGTAGCAGTTGTATGGTGCTCATATCTCAAGACACACACCTTATAAACTATACAGGGTGCTAAAAAATGATACTACTGTAAATTACTTCTGAAACCGAGAAACATGAGCTACAAAATGAGGAGATAATGAAAAAAAAAAAGAGGGCCATAAATTCTTGCTAAGGAGACAAGTGTCGAAGAAACCAGCATTAAATGTAATGAAATGCTATTTCTGGGTAGAGCCCCAGAGGCTCCCCTGAAGCTATTGGACTGATATTAGCTAATACTGTATTAGTACAAGGCTTCAGTCATAAGGAGTTGTCATGCCTACCAGGGACCACTAGCCAGAACATGATTCCCTTAGAGAAACGAAGGATGCAATGGCCTATGAAACTCACATGGATGAAAGTATTCATGTCTGCCTCAACCGGGGTTGAGCACCTAGAAAGTTAGGTGCTCCAAAACAGACTCCTGGTAGAAATATTGCAATCTGAGATGGAACAGAAGCGAGAAACTCTCCCAAAGAAAAACAAGCGAACCAGCAACATGTCATCATACCGCACGCCTCTCGTTCGCGCCAACCAGTTTGGAGGCTGAAAAATGAAAATAAAAACAGCCGACCAAGGGGATGCAGGGAGCCAGGGAGCCTCTGGGGCTCTACCCAGATAATAGTGTTTCATTACATTCAATGCTGGTTTTCTGTGGGGAAGCCCCATCGGTTCCTACTCTAAAAGAAAGAATAAGAGGGACTCACCCTGGAGATGGCTGCACTGCACAGTTCATAACGAAGACAAGACAACTGACTGCAACCACTGACCCAAGGCCTCTGTTTGGTCTCAGGTTCCAATATGTCTACCAGAAGAGGTTTGTTTTGAAGCTCCTATTTTCCTGGGTGCTCAACCCCGGTCGATGGCAGACATGAATACAGTACTGTACTTTCATACATGTGAGTTTCATAGGCCATTGCTCTCTTTGCCTCTCTGAGGGGACTATGTCCTGGCTAGTGGTCCCTGGTAAGCATGACAACTCCATATGAATGAAGCCCTGTATAAATATTAGCTAATATCAGTCCAATAGCTCCAGGGAGCCGACGGGGCTCCCCCACAGAACACATACAAAAATTCTCTTTTGTGAACAGAACAGTAAACTGCTAGAATAATTTAAGTGGTGGATGCCAAAACCATCAGCAGTTTCAAAATGTCATATAACAAAGATTATACACAATACAGAGGAACACCACAAGCATAGCTCTTATCTTGTAGCTTCACTAAGGTAATTACACAAAACACATGCACATGCACTGAAAAGTTTTACCTGTAGTAGACAAGCGAAATGCGGCATAACCCTCATCCCGGTCTTGACCCAACCAATCTACTGAAAATGCAGCAAGTAAAAGTATGGGCCAACCTTGACCTGCAAAGGAAATTAAATTAGTGATGAGGTAGAATGGTGTTTTATATTTCCTGTGTCTATAAGTCTGGTGTGACAAAATTCTTTTATTTTTTGTAAACTAAGCCTGGCTAACTTGACCAATAAAAGAATAAGCCATTGGGTGAATATGAAAAGCACCTTACTGAGTAGAACACTTAATTTCCTTTGACAAGTTCCTATATGACCCCATACGAGATGTCAAGAAAGACCACATTTTATGCTGGTATTCTCTGATTGTGTCTATATGGTATCTCAACTCTTCACTGTGTCTATTCTGCATTCCCATGACAATTTTGGTGATTAATGACCAAAAAAAAAAAAAAAAACAGCATTGAATTGTAAGAAAGACCCTTGTGAAGTGTATAACCCAGGTGAGAGACATATAAACTGCAGTGTTAAATGTTGAAAAACAGTTTGGAACTCTTGCATTTGGAATCCCCACCAGTACAATAGTCAGTTCTGCACATGCGCAGGACATTGTCATAGCAGGAAAGCGTCATCCCTAAAAAGAGTGTAAACAGCAAAGAAAATACATGTTCAAAAAGTATATTCAATGCTGGAAAATATATAGAAACAAGTGTTAAATATTGATGAACAGCCTGGAACTTTATAGGGCATATAAGTGAACTATTGGGAGACACAAATGTGAATGAAACATTATTGGAACCGGGCGGTTGGATACAAATGTGCTAGTTGTCTTGTTCACTTGGTTTGCAGCAGCAGCAAGAAGGCATTCATCACTTGTGTGGTGTGCAGCGGTCTCCTACAATAATGATAAGTGCATTGTATCTCAAGACGTACTAAAACGGTGCTCCTTCTCTGTATAAGTTAGGGATAGGCAGTCTTAAACTAAGTTTGTTTATAGAACCCTGCATGTAGGTGGTGTTTTATTATTTTGATTCATAAACTCAAATTTCTGTGACACGTGGTCTATATTTATGAAGTGTTTAAGTGCCAGGATTTTGTGTATAGTTAAAACCCATGCTACCTTTATAGCTCACCAAGGAAGTGTAAAATAGCATGATGACACTAAGTCCCAATTTGTGTGAATCCAATAGTCAATGCATCTCTAATGCTTATGTTTGCTGAAAAGTATCCCCCATTATCTCAACAATCCTGTAACATAACAGTGTTTTCTGATACACTTTGGTATGTTAACACTAAATTAAGAAAAATTAACTAAAATGTAATCTCAACCATTCCTCAGACCAAGTCCATTCTATCCAGCAGTCGACCCCAAACACGCATTCATCAATTTTAACATTCTGTTAATTCATAACAGAACTTGTCTCAAATATAAATTAATATTTAGATGAGGAGTCACAATAACATGGCTGAAATAAGTTGACCAAACCACACATTAGAAAGTGAAGGGACGACGACGTTTCGGTCTGTCCTGGACTATTCTCAAGTCGACTGGGGTGCAATAGTGAGCAGAATGGACTCCGCCCACACAATCGACTTGAGAATGGTCCAGGACGAACCGAAACGTCGTCGTCCCTTCACTTTCTAATGTGTGGTTTGGTCAACATAAATTAATATTATTATATATTAGCATATTGTGCATATTTAGGCACTGGTTAGGTTAGGTGTTTAGGTTCTGTTGCCGATTATTTGTATTTGTAGTGCGTGGATGAAGCATTTACAGCATTGTAGTTTGAACAAAAGTCATCAGCAAAGTACTTGTTCCAGAAGTGTTTGGACGTCGTCAGTTGTGAGTCGTATGTAAACTGTTTTTCATTCATAAACAGGGGACTTGGCGGATGCATGGAATGGACTTTGGCATTTGTTTATGAGGACAGGCTGGTAATCTTACCTGACTTGGAGCGAGTAACATCAAAAGAGAATGGGGTGGAATAGTGAGCAGAATGGACCCCGCCCACACACCCAACACTACATAAGGGAGTAAACCCTTCACATTCTGTACCTGAATTGGCATGCCAACCTGAAATTTAACACAGCATTAATTTCTTTATTCTGAATGTTGTGAAGCAATAAGAATTATAGCTAATAATTTCCTGCTAATGATCTGGTAGAATCTTTGATAACACAGTTTTTCTTTTGAGTTGCAGTACCTTATAAGGTTATGCCAAACACCAAACGAGTTTGAAAATAAATAAAACCAGCGTTGAATGTAATGAAACCCCATTTGCTGGGTGAGCCCCGGAGGCTCCCCTGGAGTTATCGGGCTAATGAGTGATATATTAGACCACAGATCGGTCTATGGAGTTCAGTCTACCGGGGACCACGAGCCAAAACCTGGCCCCCCTCAGAGAGGTTTCAGATAGCAATGGCCCTTGAAAACCTCCCTCATGTCGTTGGGGTTTTCCTGATCTGTCATCGACCAGGGGTTAGGCACCCAGAAAGGTAGGCATAACAAAAACCCCACATAGTAAGAAAATTACAACTAAAAACCAAAAAGAGAGGCAGAACTCTCTCCAATCCCAAGGAAACTAGTAAACAATCAAACGTCACACTCCACCGCCGCGCCGCTCGTCTGCTCAGCCCTTCACCTCCCCGCGCTGGCTACCTAGCACTCCAGTTCGGAAACTAAGCATCAAACAATGTGAAAAACTGCCGACCGGAGGGAGGAAGGGTTTCCAGGGAGTCTCCAGGGCTCACCCAGAAAATGGCATTTCATTACTTTCAACGCTGGTTTTCTGTGGGGAGCCCCTACCACCAACTGGAGGTCTGACCCCTGCCACAGACTGAAGGTCTGATCTCTGCCACAGTCTGAAGAGCCGGCCCTGCCACAGTCTGAAGAGCTGGCCCCGCCACAGTCTGAAGAGCTGGCCCCATCACAGACTGAAGAGCCGGCCCCGCCACAGTCTGAAAAGCTGGCCCCACCACAGACTGAAGAGCTGGCCCCTCTACAGACGGTAGGCAAGTATCAGTAAGGTGTCTGAAGATACCCATTCCTTATAGCACCTATGTAATTCAGTACAGTATACTGTGCTGCATACCTTATATTAACAATCATATATTGTGCCCCCCTCTGATACGATGCTCAACAGATTCAATTAACAAAGCCAGATAATATTAACCAAACTAATTTACAAATATTCAGTAATTATTGTTAACCTAATTAACAACAATTAATTATTTAGTAATTAATTAATTGATAAGTAACCTTATCAATTAACTATTAATTGAGAATGTTAATATAGAAAATTAGATATAATTAAAACAAATATTACCTGGGGGAAGATGTAAAACAAAATGAATGTAGAGGGAGAACGCTTCAGAAAAGTGGAGAGCACGCATTATCTCTCCAACAACCAGTAGACGCAGCTCTCCCACCTCAAGTTGCTGTGTATCCCACTCCAACCCAACCATCTGTTCTATTTCCTCCAATCGTTGTTCAGTGATCTAATGATAAGGAAGCACCAAGTGATGGTTAATAACAAAAATTTAAATGCCAGAGTTCTCACATTCTACATTGCTAGACAAAATAAGTGCTTGGAGCACCATTTGGTAAATGGAATTTAATGTGAATAAATGCCATGTTATGGAATGTGGAACAGGACAAAATACACTACACACAAAACACAAATTATGTGAAAAAGCTTTAAAAAATTATGATAAAGATGTCCTTCTACACTGCAAGAGCTCTCGTGTCCTTCCACACTGCCAGAGCTCTCGTGTCCTTCCACACTACCAGAGCTCTCGTGTCCTTCCACACTACCAGAGCTCTCGTGTCCTTCCACACTACCAGAGCTCTCGTGTCCTTCCACACTACCAGAGCTCTCGTGTCCTTCCACACTACCAGAGCTCTCGTGTCCTTCCACACTGCCAGAGCTCTCGTGTCCTTCCACACTACCAGAGCTCTCGTGTCCTTCCACACTACCAGAGCTCTCGTGTCCTTCTACACTGCCAGAGCTCTCGTGTCCTTCCACACTACCAGAGCTCTCGTGTCCTTCCACACTGCCAGAGCTCTCGTGTCCTTCTACACTGCCAGAGCTCTCGTGTCCTTCCACACTGCCAGAGCTCTCGTGTCCTTCCACACTACCAGAGCTCTCGTGACCTTCCACACTGCCAGAGCTCTCGTGTCCTTCCACACTGCCAGAGCTCTCGTGTCCTTCCACACTGCCAGAGCTCTCGTGACCTTCCACACTGCCAGAGCTCTCGTGTCCTTCCACACTGCCAGAGCTCTCGTGTCCTTCCACACTACCAGAGCTCTCGTGACCTTCCACACTGCCAGAGCTCTCGTGTCCTTCCACACTGCCAGAGCTCTCGTGTCCTTCCACACTGCCAGAGCTCTCGTGACCTTCCACACTGCCAGAGCTCTCGTGTCCTTCCACACTGCCAGAGCTCTCGTGTCCTTCTACACTGCCAGAGCTCTCGTGTCCTTCCACACTGCCAGAGCTCTCGTGTCCTTCCACACTACCAGAGCTCTCGTGTCCTTCTACACTGCCAGAGCTCTCGTGACCTTCCACACTACCAGAGCTCTCGTGTCCTTCCACACTGCCAGAGCTCTCGTGACCTTCCACACTACCAGAGCTCTCGTGTCCTTCCACACTGCCAGAGCTCTCGTGTCCTTCCACACTACCAGAGCTCTCGTGTCCTTCTACACTGCCAGAGCTCTCGTGACCTTCCACACTACCAGAGCTCTCGTGTCCTTCCACACTGCCAGAGCTCTCGTGTCCTTCCACACTGCCAGAGCTCTCGTGACCTTCCACACTACCAGAGCTCTCGTGTCCTTCCACACTGCCAGAGCTCTCGTGACCTTCCACACTACCAGAGCTCTCGTGACCTTCCACACTACCAGAGCTCTCGTGTCCTTCCACACTGCCAGAGCTCTCGTGACCTTCCACACTACCAGAGCTCTCGTGTCCTTCCACACTGCCAGAGCTCTCGTGACCTTCCACACTACCAGAGCTCTCGTGTCCTTCCACACTGCCAGAGCTCTCGTGACCTTCCACACTACCAGAGCTCTCGTGACCTTCCACACTACCAGAGCTCTCGTGTCCTTCCACACTGCCAGAGCTCTCGTGACCTTCCACACTACCAGAGCTCTCGTGTCCTTCCACACTGCCAGAGCTCTCGTGACCTTCCACACTGCCAGAGCTCTCGTGACCTTCTACACTGCCAGAGCTCTCGTGTCCTTCCACACTAGCAGAGCTCTCGTGTCCTTCCACACTGCCAGAGCTCTCGTGACCTTCCACACTGCCAGAGCTCTCGTGACCTTCTACACTGCCAGAGCTCTCGTGTCCTTCCACACTACCAGAGCTCTCGTGTCCTTCCACACTGCCAGAGCTCTCGTGTCCTTCCACACTGCCAGAGCTCTCGTGTCCTTCCACACTACCAGAGTGTCCTTCTGTAAGAGCTCAGACAGTGTGGAGGTCAAGAGTCTGGCTCTTGGTTTGTTGGGTTTAGCCCTGTAATACAAGTGAAGAAACTATTGGAAGCCACTGAGGGGGGCACCAGAAATACAGCACATACAACACTGAATATGATTTCATACAATTTACAACATTTATAATTTCAATGTAACTTACTTGCTTTACCAACTGATCTTCATGATGTTTCTCCTCAGCAGAATGACACAAAGATATATTTTCAATAGTATATTCATACAGGGCATTATCAGATCCAAAACTTTCTAGTCTGTAAATAAAAGGATGATGACAGTTCCATTAATATTGAGACACTAAGTAAACCAAGTAATAATTGAAAACTATTGTGACATTAAGTAAAGCCAAGTACAAGTAAACCAATGTAATAAGTTGGACCACTATTGAGTGGCCCAACTTGGTGGGACACTCCATAGCTCTATAGACTATAGCAATGGAAATTACATCAGGCCTTTAAGACCGATTTGAAGCCTACTGGGACCCAGGATCACAATCTGGCTCTTTCTACAGTTTGAGGTAACTTGTGTTCAGAGATCATCCCAAAACCTAGAAGATCCTACCACAAAGAAGGAGGGCGGGGAGGGCTGTGCAGACAATCGGCGCAGCAGTAAATTGTGATGTTTGCTTGTTTCCTTGGAATTATAGGGAGTTTCTACCTCTGTTCAGTTTTTTTGTTTTAGTTTCTTACCATGTGGGGTTTGTTTTGTTATGCCTACCTTTCTGGGTGCCTAACCCTGGTCGATGGCAGATAAGGAAAACCCACAACCACATGGGGGGTTTTCCAGGGCTATTGCTCCCTATGCTTCTCTGAGGGGGCCAGGTTCTAACTTGTGGTCCCCAGTAGACTGAACTCCATTGAGTAAAGCCCTGGTCTAATGTATCACATGTTAGCCCGATGTATCACATGCTCCCTACGGCTCCAGGGAGCTGTAGAAGCACCCCACAGAAAAGCACTACACCTGTAATTTCTTTTATAACTCTGAACCTGTTTACTTTTCTTTTATATGCTGAGTGTGTATTGACCTGCAGTGTACAGCCGTAACTGACATTCAACTATAGAACTGTGTTCGTAAGCGGTCAGAGCCGGGCCATGGGGACGGTGATCCCCAGAACCAACAGCAGGTAGGTATCTCACAAACTGAAGCTTTCTCACATGTAAGCACATTCTAAAAACATATATGATATTTTGACTACTTACACTTCTTACCTGTAAGCTTTCGAAGTAGGCTTGGTGAAGTCAGGAGACACCATTAGTTGGCCTTGTGCATCATAACGGAGCGTACACAGCACAACTTCGTGGGACCTACTCTCTCCCAAGCTGCCCAATAAAAATAATGTTCTAAATCACCATGCAAAGAAGTTTATTAAGCATATTATGCACACTTAATTTTTGTAAGCACAGCACACTATTTTACTGGAGTTTTCATGACCAAAGGTAATAGAGGTTTTTGGAGAGTGATGAACATGAAGGTTTTGCTAAATGTTGTGAAAATTTTATATGTAGAAAGTAGTGCATGTAAAGAGTGTTAATGGTATAATGATTGATTTGATATTAATGTAGGTGCATGCCAGAGTTGTGTGATATCAACCTGGTTAATTGTAATACAGTACTGAATAAACATGAGGTCAAGGTAAGAATGTTAGAGTTGTAAATCTAGTGTATAAACTGTGTATAGACCTAATATGAGTAATTGGAGAACAGTGTCAAAAATGATGTATGCAGATGATGCACATCTTTTTGCAGAAAGTGAAAGAAATCAAAATAGATTATTTTACAATTTTGTTGAGGTGTGTGTGAGAAGATCATTAAAAGTTAATACAGTATGGATGAAGTTATGGTAACTTTATTATATGGAGAAAGAAGGAAATTCAGTATGTGAAATAAACATGAATGGTGAAGTTATGGAAGTGGTCACTCAGTATGCACATATGGTATGTATGTAAATACTGATTGATGATAAAATCAATAGAGAAATATTTGTGCAATCAAAATTGATAGTACTGTAGTGTCAGTCAGGGGAGGAAAGTGGCTGGTGCAATAAAAGCCTGGGTTATAAACTTCAAGATAGGATTAAATGCAGCACGACAACGGATAGGAAGGTGTGACAGTGCCAAGTCTTGTGCATAATTGTGGCATGATGGCATGATGTGACAACCTGTCCTCTTACAAATTACGTCTGAATTTGGCTGTTTACCCATATGGCCGAAAATGGACGTTATTTGAAAATGAAAAAATTTGAAAATAAATTTAGGATTTTTTTCCAAAACAGTAAGTTGAGGGTCCTCTGGTAGGTTAGGACGGCAGGAAATTCTCCTTAAGTTTCAAAACGTCATGAAAAACGTTAACCACTGAACTGCGCAACGCGCCTGCAGGCGCTGGACTGGGGGTGCGCAACAGCCTGGATCATCAGACCACCAACCAGGAGGCCTGGTCAGACTGGGCCTCGGGAGACGTTAATCCTCGAAATCATTGACAGGTAAACAACAGGTAGTAGACTGGTTAAGTGTATGAAGCACAAGTTAGCTTTAGGGTAGGTGGAAAGGAAGGCCAAGAAGGTGGCGAGAATGTGAAATGTGAATAATGCACATGATATGATAAGGAACAAGGCTGGGGGGAAACTGCTCGACTCTTGGTATGTGGTAGTGCTTGTTTATCTGTGATGCTTTATATAATGAATGGATGAATGACATTTTTAATAAGTAACACTGTAACATTTAAGTAATTTAACCTGTCAGGAGGAGCAAGATCAGCCATGATGTAAAAGTACTGCTGCTGAGGTGACTGTGTAAGCTCTTGGTTCTTGGATCTCTTCCTATTTACTTCTTCAATTCTTTCATTTTCATCAGTATTGTTGTCTTTTTTACCTTTCCTGTAGGAACAATTTTAAGAATTATTGCAAATTTTTTTTAATACATTTAGTGTAAACAGATGATAAAAAGGTCATTATTTCATTAAATGTCTTGTAGATTCTTAGTGATAAGAGGCTCTATTTAACTATGTCCAGTATTGGGAAACACTGTTTTATCTACAGTATTCTGGTTCATAGACTGGTAATTTTAAATTGTTTTAGATGAGTTTTATGGATAAATAGAAATCAGATGACATGGCAAGAGGTCACTTTTCTAAGAGCTGCTACAAAACACAAATTTCTTTATATGATTAACTAAATAATTATGGTTAGTAGTAATTGATGTTGGAATTTCCGACAGGTTATTATGCTACCACAAGTGATGCTTGTGACATTCAATAAAGCTTCTTGAGCTCTATATACAAAGAAAGATTAATAAGTATACAACAGATGCTTTGTATTATAGACAGTTTTGTATTCTAAAATATCCTTAAACCATGATTTATTCTAATTTATGTTAAAAATGTCATACCTGCTCATCTCACTGAAGTATTCAACTTTGAAATATTCTTAGCTTTCATCCTGCTTATGTTTGTGTAACAATCTGCCTATCTGTATACATTACTGTGTAAATGTATAATGAATAAATAAGAATAATAGTGATTTACACAACTAGTACATTCTGCATATAGAGTAATTATATAAAAGCTGGATATATTCTCTTGAACCAAGCTTCTCTAACACTGACTCATAATATCAACCACTGCCCCAATGGTGATGGTAAAGTCCACCTCACAGTGTACAGTCTGGTGATGCATACAGCACCATGAATGCCATCGTGCTAATGTAATCATTTTGATAACTGTCATACATGTCCCTTTATCTGGCCATGATAAATGTTTCAACAACACATACACAGCTCAATATGACTTGTACAAATTAGTTTCTCATATTCATGTTAATTCATTCTTTTGTGGAGCCTAATAAACAATGTCTACTGCCATGTGGGTTGACATCTTCTTCACAACACTATCAAGACAGTTACTAGCATGAGCATCCATTCGAATTTCTCCCTTGTGTAACTTAAGTGACATTCAATGCAAACAAGCTAATAGATAGGTAAATGTTTTGGAATGATATACAGTATTTATATTAGACAAAATGTACACGTACAGTCTGCTTACTTTATGCTTGTGGTAGTTTTTCTTTGTCTCAGCCAGCACTCTTGGTCCTGTCTTTTTGAAGTGGAAACGGCATCCTGGACCTGTTGTATAAAACGGTTTTGATAAGTCTATGATTTTGCATTTTAAACACATACATACATAATAGGAACTGTATGAGTACAAAATTTTCTACAATGTTTACTTATCAATAAAAAACAAGTGTTGAATGTAATGAAATGCCAGTTTCTGGGTGAGACCCAAAGGCTCCCCAGAGCTAACCGGGCTGATATGAATGTATCAGACCCAGGCATCAGTCAATGTGCATGGAGTTCTAAGCCTACCGAGGACCACAAGTCAGAACCTGGTCCCCTCAGAGAGGCACAAGAAGCAATGGCCTATAGAAACCCCCATGTGGTTGGAAGCATTCTATGTCTGCCATTGTAACACTGTAAAAGTGTTTGGGTTAGGTTATTTAAAATATATATAGAGTACATGAGTCACAGACAAGGATCTGAGAGGCGCCAGTTGTCTGCCTGAGATCTCACACCTCAAAGCGTTAATGACCTCAAGTGACCTGAGGTCAGATCATGAGAATTTCACCTTGCTTCCGCTAAGCTCTTAATTGTAGTCTGGTAGCCTTCAAACAAGCCGACGTTTAAGGAGTGGCTTGGTAGTGCCGGAGGCTATCTATTTGTGGGCGGAGTTAGCTACTAGGTTCCCCAATATAAACTCGGAGAGCTATCCAGAAAGAGCATTAACAGACAGAGCAGCAGACGAGCCAGGAGAGCAGAGAGAAGACAGCCCTACCAGGGAGGCTGTCGGCCGGCAGGGCGGGAGTCTCTGTCAACTACAGACCCCCCCCCCCTCTCTATTCAACTTAGACTCAGTCCTCGGTGAGTGAACATTAAGGTGACTTGGTCGTGTTTACATATGTTGTGTGATGATCAGGGGCAGTCAAGTTGTAGGGTTCTCGAATTCTTGGATGATGACTCACTTTGCATATTAAACTGGAACATTTTAATTGAATTGTTAAATTATGATACTTCATGGGAAATATAATTATGAATTTATTATTTAAATTGTGTTTAACTTTGTTCCCTAGAGCTTTGAGTTGAGGTGAGAAAGCCTCTGTGGTTACTGGTTTCATGGTGTAGAATGAGTACATGATAAAGATGGGAACTACTAATAATGATCTCTTGATAACATCATTTGAGAATTTTGTGATACAGACAAGTTCCATTCCTTGTCTTGTATGTAATGATCATGAATGGATGGTGGCAGCATTTCGTCTTCTACTATCTACTCTTCTACTTCTACTATCTACTCTTCTCCTTCTACCTATCTACACCTCTCCCTCCACCCCTCTCTGAACTCTCACTTTCAACTAATGACCCTCCTCGCTCCTCCCACCTCTCTCCCTCTCACCCCAAACCCTCACTAATTACTTCACTATTCATTTCTTTCCTTTAGTTTTCTCTTATACGTTGGTGGCAGTGATTATGTATTCTAGAATTCTCTCTAGAGTTTCGGGTAACTGATCAAGTGACGGCGCCTTGTAGTCGTAGCACCTAGGTAGTCAAATACCTAGGTTTACAAGGTGTTGAACGAGAGAGGCTGCCTTAGGAACTCTGGAGGGTGCTTTAGAATAGTTAGCTAACTGGGGACGGGATAACGGACTAGAGAGAGCTGTTTCCCCCGGCCTCGTTAGATAACTGGGGGGTGGAATAATGGACAAGATAGAGCTATTTCCCCCACCCCCCGTTACACCATCAACCGGGTCAGGCACCCAGAAAGGTAAGTACCCCAAAACAAATACTTATTCTGGTTAAAAGATTGCTACTGAAAGCTGAATTAGTAGACAAAACTCCCCAAATGAAAATGAGCAAACAAGAATGCCATCACCACACCACTGTCTGCACAACCTGCCCTCCCAGGATAGGGGGACAGGGGAAGCCCCACATCCCCGCATTGGCTATCCACCCTGCAGTTCCGAGGCTGGAGTAAAAAACCACAAAAAAAAAAAAAAAAAAAAAAAAAAAAAAAAAAAAAAAATGCCGACCAGAGGAAGGGAGGGATGCCGGAAGCCTCTGGGTCCCTCCCAGAAACTGGCATTTCATTACTTTCAATGCTGGTTTTCTGGGGGGGAGCCCCTTCGGTTCCCTTTAGCTACTTACCCAAAGACAAAACAAGAGAGACTTACCCGGGAGGCGGTCGGGCCTCGCTTCTCAACACAAAGTCGAGACAACTGGCTGCAACTGCCAACCCAATGCAACACTGGCCTGACTAGACCCAGAAACATTTGACAAGTTAGTGAGTTAGATACTTATATATAATGTGTATATATAGTGTAACAACAGCAAAAGGAGTGTGGGGAAAAGCCAGTTTGGTGAGGGAGGTGGCAACATCTGCATGATATATCATGCTGGGTAGGGGTGGCCACTATGCTCTTTGGGCACTATACCAGCTTAGTTGAACAGTAATGGTGAACAGAACATGTAGATACTTATTTTATAACGTCTGTATATAGTGAATAAAAGCAAGAGCAGTATGGTGGGAGGAGGATGTGGGCGAGTGAGGAGTCACTGAGGGAGTGGCAGTGAGAGGCTGACTGGCAGATGTGGTGGCCACACCTCATTGCTTTTTGACTTGCAATGTCAAGTTAGTGGTTCGTTATGGTGAACAAAACATGCAGATACATATGCAGTACTGTATATAACCTGTGTGTATAGTGTAATAACCGACAAAGTATTTGTTTATTGTTTTATGAACACAATAATTGAATCAATAATATGCACACCATAATTTTGAGTAGAGCGATGATTCACACATTTTATTACAGTATATAAATATATCACACTGCACACTATTGAATAATATTACAGCAAAAAAATGAAGAAAAATCAATCAGACATTGAAATAATTAGGTAATTATCACTTTGTGGCCACTCCTGCCTGACAGCTGGGGCTGAACAGACTGCCTCGTATGCATGCTGAGCCAGCGCCTCTTTTTTGCCAGACTTCCCCGCCCTATAGCGGGCAAAATATGCCATTTACGATTTTTTATTATTTTTCCTGTGATCAGGGAACACAAATTAACAGGTTTAGGAGAATTTTTTTTTTTTTTTTTTTTTTATATGCACCTGTGGGTGACAATGGCCAAATAGCCCTTAGCAACACAAGGGTTAATTTTGATTCATCTGCAAACACTAACATGTACAAACTGTTAAAATCTGGTAAAATCCTTTATATATGCTTAGAAATAACACCAGATGCTCTTTTCTCCAAGACTATGGGTCCTCATTCCAACTAGAGGTGGCACCCTTCTTCCTTATATTTGAGGACACATAATTGCATATTTTTGGCACTTACTACACAGTGACATTTTATCCTATTGCCAACATATGGCAGAATTTACAGGGTCCATACATTTCTTTTGAAAGTCAAGAGTACTTTGGAAAATATTACACGATTTAAAAATATTTTTCTAGGCACAAGGACAGAGGTTATTGTCATCACAGAGCACTCAAAAAGTTTAGAAAAAATCTTATTCATGATTCTTTACCTGATAATGAAACTTATTTTGGTGAATGTATGTAAAAATACGCTGCTTCCCTTGCTTCTTCTTCTTTAACTTCATGGCTTGTTCATACAGCTTCTTGTATTTCTTATCATTTGCATACAAAGTTCGGCTGTATTCCACTGTTTCAAATGCACTGTGAAAGGAAATTTCTTAATAGAAATAAAAATATAAAACATAAAAAAGGGAATGGAAGTATAATTACTGTATTACTGTACAATCAACTTTCATTTCTTCACCGATGTACTCCAAGACAACTTGCTTAGCTGAAACTGTGTAGTTATGCTTTAACCACTAAACTGCACAACGCGTCTGCAGGCGCTCGACGGGGGTGCGCAACACACCTGCACGCGCTCGATGGGGGGTGCGCAACGCGCCTCCGGGATCTTATATTTTTAGTGTATGATTCAAAACTCTCGCGACTACATGGGGTTCACATCAGCTTCCTCAGGGCTCTTGTAAACAGACGCCATTATAAACAAAAATCGTGGGCAACATTCCCGGGTGTGAGAGCCTTAGCACTGAGTGAGCAACCAAGGTTGGCACACACAGCATGAGCTCACAACACTGCTGTTCAGCTTGTGACCACAGCATCACCTAATAATGTCAAAATATATATATAACTGGTATTATTTAGCCATGATAGTATTACAAGGTTCTGTAAAACACCCCATTGAGGGTGGGCACCAATGATGAATCAGAAGGATGGATGTGGAAGAAGGTCTTACAAAGCTTCAGAAGGGAAGGGCTTAAGAAATCGAGGGCAAATTATTTGATAAAGTCCCACATAAGACAATATCTCTTTTATATACATTAGTTCTTACATTCTTGCACAGCCACTAGCACGCAAAGTGTTTCAGGCAAGTCTTCAATCGTGATATTCCCCGGAATACGACCCATCAAATCGTTTAACAACCAGGTACCCATTTTACTGTTGGGTAAACAGAGGCTACAGTTAAGAATTGACACCCAGAAACTCCTCCCCAGCCAGGATACGAACCCAGGACAAAGCACTCGCGAAACGTCAGGCAAGCATTTTACCACTACGCCATGGGGGACTGCTTAAGCACACATTTTGGAAGTTGGCACATATTTAAGGAGTAATGGGAACACTACTAGAATCCATGAAAACCTTTTTAATGTGTAAAATGATAAGAGTAGTAGTTAGTATTGTAATTATAATCACATCTAGTAAATTCCTATTTCAAGGTTGACAATAAGCAAATATAGAATAAGAATAAAATACCTCAAGAGTTTCTGTTGCCATTTGATGACCTGTTGGTGAGTGTGAGAAACTGTGGCATCATTAGAAGGGATGGACAAAGCAGCCAGGGCTATCTCTGCCTCCCTGACCCCTGACGTATCCTCCACCACTCTTGGAGACACATCGACTAGTTGTGTCCCTGTCAGTTGCTGCAGACACACCCTATAAAAATGTCATACATAAATAAGCTCGAGTATAATATGTCTTACATATGATGTGTCGACAGATGCTTTCTAAATAGAAGGCAGACTTTGATCCATCGGTAAACAAAATTTTGGCGAATGGTAGTGAAAATATTCTAGAAAAAAAGGCCTTCCATGATAATTGGTGAGGTACCAGTATAAGCCTTGTGAGTGTTTAAAAGTTGTGACAATGTGCCTTCAGGTCTAGTGCTGCCCTGCTGCATCTGTTTAAGCAGTAATGGTCAATACATGAGAAGCACTTTGCAGAACTTTATATATCATGGATAAACAAGCACTACTACACCAGCAGGGTTTCACAAAAGCTTGTATATACTATCCTTATATATACCTTCACACTATATTTAATAAGACCAAATGTAAAGCCCAGGGTAATCTTTCTGAATTGTCATAATAATAATAATAATAATAATAATAATAATACTAATACTAATACTAATAATAATAATAATAATATATATATATATATATATATATATATATATATATATATATATATATATATTATTACATTCACGTGAATGTATATACATATATATTCACTCCTGCCTTACAAATGACTTAAGACATCCATGTCCTCTTAAACACTGTGCATTCAAAACTGACTGTACCTGATCTGAAGATTATTAATTTGGTCCTTGGTGTAGTAATATGCACACTGATCTCTTGATGGTTCCATGTCATCAGGTGGCTTACACCATTTCTACAAAAGTTCTGAAAACCAAAGAGACAAACTAAAGTTTCATCTCATAGTTTATTGTGCTACACAATACACACAGTGATTTACTTCATTCACCAAAATATTTTAGAAAGTATATTTACTGTGTTAAGGCAAAAATTAAAAATATGAGAGCCTTTTCTGAGGTCATTGTGTTGCTCCACATGACACAACAAGCTCACCTAAGGAGGTAGCAATTATTCATTAGGTTCAAGCTGGATGACCTACAGCATGACTAAAGAGTGAACCCAGAATGTTGTCCAAGCTGCAACCTTTCTTTCTCATGTTAAAATATGACAACCCACTGCATGCACAACCACCAATCATGAAAATGGGAAATGGAAACACTGACCAAATGGCTGCAAATGAACAAAACGACCACCTGGACCATCTGCACAGAACCCCTGGCATGGGAACAGAGTATGAAGCTCCCCATCATGACCCCCAGAGGCCATAGCCAACAAAAACAAGGCCTTCCGAAAGCAATCCTTAACCAAAGGGGCCACAACAAAGCAAGGAGAAGAAAAAAAAGAAAGAACACGGTCTTAAGAAGACAACGAAGGCTCAAGCGGTGCATGTGCAGGCAGGAGGGAAAAAAATGCACGAGCAAAAGCTTGCGGAACAGAGCGGAAGCAACTTCCACCCAGAATGCAAGCTGGAGCAGCTCTGCCAACGCCAAGCGATAAGAATCGACAGTATTAGGCATGAGATGCTAATCTAGAAAAAGCCAAGAGAGAAAAGACAAAGCCACCTGGTCGGAAACCAACGAAAACCATCAAAGAGAAAGAAAGTGAAATTAAAAAAATACCTCCAATATCTGAAGCTGAATTGCATTTGTTGATTTGCTTCCAAATGAATGTAGTTGGTATCTTCTATGCTTAGTGTGAGTTTGTTGGTTGACATCCATAATTGGACTTTTTTAATTCATTAGTCACAACATTAATTATTAAATTAATGTGTGTGGGTTGGGGTCTGAGTAGATGAGGGCAGTATCGTCAGCAAATAATACAGGTTTAAGAATGTTAGAGACATTAGGAAGATCATTGATGTATATAAGAAATAGGAGAGGTCCCAGGATGCTGTCCTGTGGCACCCCTACGGTTAGTGTAAAGTAGGAGAGGTTATATCACTGATGGCTACATATTGGTGTCTATCACTAAGATATGATCGGATATAGTTCAGGGCAAGGCCTCAGACTCCATAATGGTGGAGTTTAATTAAGAGGTATTTATGGTTAACAGTATCAAAAGCCTTTCTCGAGTCAATGAAGAGTCCAATAGGAAACTCACCTTTGTCAAGGGCTGAGTAGATTATATCCAGCAGACTAACAATTGCATCATTGGTACTCTTCTGGGAGCAGAAGCCAAACTGGCAGGGACTTAGTATGTTGAATTTTACGAGGTAGGAGTAGAGCTGTTTGTAAATAAATGTTTCAAATATTTATGATATGGGTAGATTTAATATTGGTCTGTAATTGTTTATGTCTGCCGTATCTCCTCTTATGAACTGTCGTTACTTAAAAATAATTAACACATGTAACATCACCAGTGTACTAGTCCCCATAAATTTATATTGTAAACTCAAATTTTACGAGAAAGTATGTAGGAGTCCCTTACTTGCGTCCGACACACAAGGTAGTCTTGTTTATATTCGAACCCCAGTTGGAAACAGACCCAACTATAGGATGGGTTAACCCAAGTATGGCGCTTCCAAAAGGGTCGCCCAAGTTGGAAAAGACGAACGCTGAAAGAATATTGTTGAAAACATCTTGATAACTGATTAAACCAAAATTATTTATTAGTCAGAAGAAAGACAGAAACGCTGGGACGGTGGGACGGTTCTGACTCTGCACCTATTTTCATTTTCAAATTACGACTTTTTATACCAAAAATATGCCAATTACTGAAAACGGCAATGGGTCATATTTTGCCCAAACCCCCCTGCAGTTTTCAAAATATCTGAAATGTCCGAAATTTGACTCCTGAGCGTGATTTTTCAGCCGAATTCTGACTCTCTGCATCTATTTTCATTTTCAAATTACGACTTTTTATACCGAAAATATGCCAATTACTGAAAACGGCGATGGGTCATATTTTGCCCAAACCTCCCTGCAGTTTTCAAAATATCTGAAATGTCCGAAATTTGACTCCTGAGCGTGATTTTTCAGCCGAATTCTGACTCTCTGCATCTATTTTCATTTTCAAATAACGACTTTTCATACCGAAAATATGCCAATTACTGAAAACGGCGATGGGTCATATTTTGCCCAAACCCCCCTGCAGTTTTCAAAATATCTGAAATGTCGGAAATTTGACTCCTGAGCGTGATTTTTGAGCGGAATTCTGACTCTCTTCACCTATTTTCATTTTCAAATTACGACTTTTTACACCGAAAATATGCCAATTACTGAAAACAGCGAGGGGTCATATTTTGCCCAAACCGCCCTGCAGTTTTCAAAATATCTGAAGTGTCGGAAATTTGACCCCTGAGCGTGATTTTTGAGCCGAATTCTGACTCTCTGCACCTATTTTCATTTTCATATTACGACTTTTTGTACCGAAAATATGCCAATTACTGAAAACGGCAATGGGTCATATTTTGCCCAAACCCCCCTGCAGTTTTCAAAATATCTGAAATGTCCTAAATTTGACTCCTTAGCGTGATTTTTGAGCCGAATTTTGACTCGCTGCACCTATTTTCATTTTCATATTACGACTTTTTATACCGAAAATATGCCAATTACTGAAAACGGGGATGGGTCATATTTTGCCCAAACCCCCCTGCAGTTTTCAAAATATCTGAAATGTCGGAAATTTGACTCCTGATTGTGATTTTTGAGCCGAATTCTGACTCTCTGCACGTATTTTCATTTTCAAATTACTACTTTTTACACCGAAAATATGCCAATTACTGAAAACGGCGATGGGTCATATTTTGCCCAAACCCCCCTGCAGTTTTCAAAATATCTGAAATGTCCGAAATTTGACTCCTGAGCGTGATTTTTGAGCGGAATTATGACTCTCTACACCTATTTTCATTTTCAAATTACGATTTTTTACACCGAAAATATGCCAATTACTGAAAACGGCGATGGGTCATATTTTGCCCAAACCCCCCTGCAGTTTTCAAAATATCTGAAATGTCCGAAATTTGACTCCTGAGCGTGGTTTTTGAGCCGAATTCCGACTCTCTGCACCTATTTTCATTTTCAAATTACGACTTTTCACACCGAAAATATGCCAATTACTGAAAACGGCAATGGGTCATATTTTGCCCAAACCCCCCTGCAGTTTTAAAAATATCTGAAGTGTCGGAAATTTGACTCCTGAGCGTGATTTTTGAGCCGAATTCTGACTCTGCACCTATTTTCATTTTCAAATTACGACTTTTTATACCGAAAATATGCCAATTACTGAAAACGGCGATGGGTCATATTTTGCCCAAACCCCCCTGCAGTTTTCAAAATATCTGAAATGTCCGAAATTTGACTTCTGGCTGTGAATTTTGAGCCGATTTCTGACTCTCTGCACCTATTTTCATTTTCAAATTACGACTTTTTACACCGAAAATATGCCAATTACTGAAAACGGCCATGGGTCATATTTTCCCCAAACCCCCCTGTAGTTTTCAAAATATCTGAAGTGTCGGAAATTTGACTCCTGAGCGTGATTCTTTAAAAATAAAGAACTAGAAGCGTATTTTATTGCTAACTTTTCGAGAAATAAATCCCAGTCTCATATTTGCGAACATTTATGCATTGATTTTTTGGCTTAAGTTAGTTTAGTTTAGTTCATTTATTATGCACCCTATACCCATCTTGTGGGCGGTGATGGAAAGGGTTACAGAGGCACATAATGGGCTCAGGGACTGAACTCCACAATTCATTTAGCTAAGCAAGTTACAATCTTGATGAGCTAGTTACAAAATTCAATATAAGTCGTCACATCAACAATGGGTTCGAGATTGGCCTCAAGTACAAGTTCTAAATTAAGCAACTGACATATGTGGAGAGCTAGTGTCACAATTTATATGTTTGTCCTGCACACCGCCCCCCATGCCGTGGGCAGCGGTGGATAGGTTACAATCACTTAGTTACTACCTACAGTTAGCAAACTGGGGATATTTGGCTAAAATTTCTGGTAGCAGATCATTTTGAATGAAATATTGACACATCGCTGGAACATTGATTATAGAATTGTCTTAAGTTCTTATCATAATCCCTTTTGCAATCTCAACACCATCTGGCTCGTATCTTGTAACTATCTTCGTTACTTAGCCTCAAAACCTTACATTTGTCTTACATATCCTCAACAGTAGATAATAAAAAGTAACTGCAGAATTCTAGTTACCTAATACCAGCATGGTATAAAATCTTATTATAAGCTACCTGACGTATAGATCAGTGTTTAAAGTAATAATAATACATTATTATTAATTATTATTATTACATTACTATTATTACATTATTAAAAATACATTATTATTATTAATGTAATAATATTATTAAAATAATAATAACACAGCTGATGCCATCTGTCGGCAGAAGAGAACACTATCAACTGGCTGGTCAATAGTGGCCATAAGATACAGCTTACGCCATCTGTTGACATCAAATTACACTTATAACAAATTACCCTGCAAAATACAACTAACGCCATCTCGTTTTTTTCCAACGCACTATAAATAGCCAAACAGCAACCCATAAGGTGGGTTGTTGTGCTCGGGTAGGAGGTTCCAAGCTCCGCCCACAAATGGTATGGGGTGCATAATAAATGGCATATCATTGGTAGATATTCTTTGTTGACATTCACACAACAGCCAATCACAGGAAGGGATCAGCTAAAGGCTCCATTAAACTTAATAAATCATCTTTATTCAGCACACCATCTTGCTTATGACATTCTGTTTCAACTTTAATCTACCTAAAAAGTGAAATGTTAAATATTTAAAAGTATTAATATAGTGATAATTAAATACTGCAGGATGTAACGAGTGTTACAGAAACATGGGCTGGCTACCTAACTTGTGACGTCATCAGGGGGGGTTGCCTCACACAAATAATGATACACTGCTCTGCCCTCTTATTCGAGTAAATTATTCAGTTAGATGGAGATTTCTGTCAGGTGCAAAACAGAAATTGTTGTTCTTTTTCAGAACAACCTTGTTGTTGTGCACAAGGGCCTATTTCTTAGTTTAAATTTTATTCATAAAAGAGTGTTGGTATTCCCCGCAACAGCCAATCACAGGAAGGTATTTCTGGAAGCTCGGCCTCCTTATGGACTCAACACATCGCTCTAGCTCATGGCTCTCTGTTTCATGTCTTCTATATACAAACTATGACTTTTTTTCGATTACTGTAATAATTAATAATATGAGATATAAAAGTTTTTACACAAAATGGCTAAATTCTGCCATTAAATGGACTTTGTCTGGTATACGTACAAACATACACCAATTTATTACCATTCATCCATTATTAATTTCAAATGTAATGTATACTGTCTAGTTTTTTCCTCTCGCCATTTCTTTGTGCAATATTTGAAAGTTGTCTATTTATCGATCTATCTATTATCTTGTATTTATATTTACAAGTTTCTGTGCTTGGAAGAAAACTCTGCATTGAATTGGGACTAATTTATTAAATAATATTATTTAGTATTAATTGATATTTACAATTATTGTTAATTACCATTATTTATAGCTTAGTTGCTTTCATGTAACTCGCAATCGTACATTCTTAACATTAATGGCCCAAATTAGCACATCTTGTTTTTAAATTAGCCCAAAAAGTAGCAAGCAGCGAAATTAAAAATTTGGGAGCGCGGGGCTCTCAAAAGTAGCCCAATTCGCTATTTGTAGCCCAATCTGACAACATTGCACTGGGGTCACTGGCATGTTTACAAGTTAAGCAGCCTGGAATACGTTCAGTAGATATTCCAACTGGCAAATAAGTACTTAATAAAACACCTATTTTATATTTAAGACATTTTTAATAAAATGTCTATTTTATATTTAAGACATTTCTGCTTTCAATTTCAATACATAAAATAAATACATGTGAACTAATTAGCGACTTTATTATTATAAAATGGATTTTATATATTTATTTATGCTGATACATAGACTAATTTTATTTATTAATTACTTTTATACAAGAAGGTACATTGGGTTTATTAGAGTACAATTCAATTTCTTTCTTTATTATGCACCCCATACCCATCCCGTGGGCGGTGGTGTAAAGGATTACAGATCATCCCGTCCTCCAAAAATGGGGTGGTAAATGTAAGAAGACAAATAAGTGCAATTATGTACTATTCATAGCAGTTAGGAATTGTACTTATTTTCACTTAGTATTAAATCGTAGTCAAATATATTGTGAATATTTGAGTTTACCTGAAAAACTGAATAGAAAACCACAACCTCACCTAACCGTTTTAGTTTTTGTAGATAATAATTTTATTGCTTCTTAATTACAATTAGTACTTAACCTATAGCTATATTGATATTACAGTTTTATAAAACTAATAAAACAAAACTAAAATATATAAATAAATTGTAAAGTAACTCAGGATATTTTAAAATTTTGTATAAAATCCATATTTTTAATAAAGCCGGAAAACAATTTCCTGATATTTAAAACTTGTGTATTGCAAATCCC